CTATTTACCGCTGATGTGGGAGGCGATGTTTGATGATGTGCAATGACCGACTGACTCGTGACCAATGGCTGACCTACAACTACTTTCATGTGTTGCAGAACATCGAGCTGAAAGTGGAAGTAGAGAGCTTGAAGCAGGAGCTCCAGGAGAAACAGCAGCTTTTGGACAAAGCACTGTAAGGCGTCAATTTCTCAATCTCCATCATTTATTCATGTGCAACCCTGACCTCAAATAAAGTAGTTTAGTTTAAGTCGTGTGTGTTGTTGACGGACCGAGATCGCTGACATCCTGCAGAAAGGCTGGCGCTTTGCACGAAGGTCTTGTCCACTACACGACATAAAGGACACAAGTACACGAGACAGATATCTGCATTACTCAGACTGGTTCAAAATATCCCAGTTATTTGAGCTGTTGCATGTGGTGCACAGAGTTAAAAACGTACGTAGAGAGGGACTCATGGCGACATGGTGGCGTGTGCCATTCTGGGAGCAGAACTTCTGGGATGGCGTCGTTGAATGACTAAGTGATATTACACAGTAGTAATGAGGGGGACACTTACGTCATGCACCGTGAATACAAAGAAACAGGCGTGTGAGGAGTTACACGTTTCAGAGAACGTAAAATGTAAAATGTTCATATGAATGTATTAGTAGCGTTCACGCTGTGTGTCAATTGAGTTTGATGCCACAAAGTCCAGGTTACTTACAACAGGAAAAATAACTCAAATTGCATCACATGTCCCCCGTGAACAGACAGGAAAGTGATGACATCTTTAAGTCTTGGCTCTGCATGTCACACCACCTTAGCGTGCACATTTAAACTCATCTGAATTGGGGAGTCATCATTGCGATACCTCAGATTGACTCCGACTTGCCCTTTTCCACGTTGAACAGCACAACAGCAGTCAGCTTGTCCAATCACAATGAAGCAGAGCTGCAGAGACGCTGCCGGGAGAGACAGCAGGAAATCGACCACATGGAGCAAGTGCTCGAGACCAAGATTCAGCTCCTGCAGGAGGTCTGTCTGCTCACTCCCTCTGCTGGTTGAAGTGACACACGGGGGCCTCGGCTGTGCGAATCACAACTGTGCATGCGCGTGCATTTCAGGAGGCCCAGCTAGCGCGCAGCGAGGCCGAGCGGAAAGCCTCGCTGGCTGGATCGCACTCCAACGCCTCCCTCCTTTCTCTCGACGCACCCATGGAGGACACCCCAGAGGACAAGAGGCCTACTAATATCCTGTTCCCCTCCAACACCAACAAAGACAGGTGCAAAACATGGAGAAATCTCCAGAACCTCCACTAATATCAAACACACCACCCACCTGCCTCACTAGCATTTTCTCTCTTTCCGTGTTCAGGTTAATAGAGGAGCTGACAAAAGATCTCTGCTCCAAGGAGGCGCTGATCACAGAACTGAGCGGAGAGAAGACCACTCTCACTCTCCGGGTGGGAGAACTGGAGGGACAAGTGCAGGAGTTGTCTTCATCTCTGCTGCAGAAAGACAAGGATGTGGATGTATGTAGACATTGTATTCATGTGTTTATCTATTTTAAGTGATGCCTAACATCAAACCACCTGTTCAGAGTCTTAGCAAATGGATGCAAATCCAAACAGGCGCTGTTGGAATGTTTCAGTAGGTCAGTAAATGTGTTTCTATTAGCTAATCACAACTAGAGTTTATTATTCAGACCCCGTATGTATGCAGGGCTTCTAAAGTGATTGCATTCCTCTGGACCACCGTGTCTCCTCTGGCCGACCTCTATTCTAGAAGGAGGCTCCCAAAGAGGCAGCATATGGGACATTCCTAAACCTTATTTGGATTAGGACACAAAAACAATTTGCTTGCACAAACTGCTACTTAAACAAACACTCGCAATTATTCTCCCATGAAGTATGATGACATCTAAAGAAAGAGACATTTTATTTATTCCCTGTTTCTCAAACTTAAAATGTATAATAATGTTAATTATTTGAATTCCCAGATTAGCACACAATTAACTGTCTGTCTTCATTCGTACAGTTTTATCAGGAAGAACTTGGTCAAGAGAGGCTGCGTATCGAACAGGAAATGCAGGTATGTGGCGCTCTGTATATACGTACCTGCATGGTGACCAATTTGTCTTCTGATGTCATAATAGAGTTCTCCACTATGTGTCAGAACACCATCACAGTTCTCTCTCAGTTTCAGGACATTCAAACAGGGGATGACAAATAAATAATAAACATTTCTAAAAAATCATTTGAGATTGAGGGAGATAATGTAATAAAGTACGTTAGAGATTGTGATCCAGCAAACAGTCTCCCTTTGCCTCTAGACAAGGGCAGAGTTTTGTGCAGCTTTAAACTTAATACAATAAATACAACGACTCGCTTTGATACAATGACACAGCAAAAACCTGAACAAAATGAAGTGAAACATCCTGTGGCGAGCTGAGACTTTGTCCGTCTTTGTGCGATCTTACCCTCAACGTTTCATCATCGGCTCAATCCGACAGCTGTGTCGTGGTGAACTTTCCTCCAAAGTGAACAAACACTTATTTTATTATTCTTGGTCTTGTTATTCTGCCACGGATGGAGCATCATGTGAGGAAGATCGCACAGAGGCTTCATCTCACCACACAAAGGGCCAGAACCTCATTACTTTTAGAGGCTTTAGCCACACTGACGTCCCCGAGGGACCATTTCTCTCCTGATGTCAGAGCAAACTATGAATAGAGGGGGACAAATGCCTTCATGCGAGCTTCCTCTCTAGTGGGATGCTTTGCCATCAACATGCATTTATACTAATCAACATCACCACAGTTCACTTTATTCTTCACCGCCTTGTGCTGCCGTCACATTATTTGACGTAAATGCTTCACTGTTGCATATATTTCTGTTGTTGGGTGGAGGTGTTTTTACTTGTAAATCAGTTGTGGATGAAGGATGCAAATGTTCCCACCGGGCAGCTTCTCTGCTCAGATTTCAAACCGGATGCCTGTGCGTGTAAAGGTTTGCATGCGTGAGTATAATGGGAGACAACAAAACATTTAGTCACTAAAAGTGACAAAACAGTGGGGTAGTTTCTTATTGTGTGACTAGTAATGTATATGATGTGCAAGGTATTGTGTGCGTACATATCAACACAGCCTTAATATGATCAGTACAAGAGGAGGATGTTTGTTGTGTTGTGGGTTTCGTAAAGGGAGGTTTGTTGGTGGACAGCATAGAGAATGACAGAGGATAAAGAAAATATACAACACAACGACATCATATTATCCAACACGCCGCTATAAATATTTTTTCCGTTTGAAGAATTTTGGGGGAACACTGTTGCAGGTCAAATGGGGCTTAAACCACAATGATTTGCTGTATGTCGTAACTTGTTACTGCAATTAAATTAATCTAAATGTGGCTCAAAATTATACTTATTAGCAATTTGTGTTTTACAGCAGAAACTGTTCATCCAGCAGTATTCTCATCTACTCACGTGGATCAGTTGAGGATCAGTAGCGGGTGTCTGGTGCACGCGTGTGCGTGTGTGCACATTCCCATGAGGCGCTTTCCTTCACAAGTGCGTGCAAACTGGCACCTCGCTGGTTAGCGGTTTAGCGGGTCTGGTTTCAGCCGTGCTGTCGATGGGTCAGGTTGACCTTTGAGTGCTCAGCGCCCCCCCAACCCCCGATATCAAGTTGAGTAGCTTCCTACAGACGCGCGCAATAAGAGCTCCTAATTAGTTCCCCAGACTCCACAGACATTTAGATGAAATCTATTTCCGGCGAGAGAGGAAGAGCCAAGGAAGAAATATCATCTGAAACCTCTGAAGAGAATCATTTCCAGGGTTTCCTTTTCAGGAAAATGTTGTAGTTAATAGTACCCTTTAAACAGCTAAATCATTTATACATTGGCTTGTATTCAATTACATAGAACATCTGATCAAAAAGTCCAGTGTTTTTAGCCGTATTCCTCTCACATGTGTTGTTGGTTTTCTGCAACCTCCTTCGGGCAAACCCTAACAAACAATCTGATTAAGATCAAATGACTCAGGAGCAAAAATGTAATTACAAACACTCAATCAGAAGTCATAGAACCACTTTCAGGACATTGGCGGTCCATAGGGGATTCTTCACTGCGCGAGAATAAAGCACGACATAAAGCATCTGCTTGTTCGCCCCCAGGAAAACCAAAAATTGTGGTCGCTGCAGTGATGCACAATCAAAAGCATGAGAAAAGACCTTGTTTGGTAATCATAGTCAAATCATTGTTGAACTGCTCCATGGCAACAAGAAATAAAAATAACACTAATCTTGAGGAAATGTATTGTATTGACATAAGTTATGCTAGCGAGAGATTGGGAGAGAGCGCTACAGCATTATTATTATTATTGAAGATCTCCACTGTGTGATTCTCTTTCCCACAGAAAAGAATACTGCATTAGAAAAAAAGAGAATATAATGTCTCATCTTATTACATAAAATCGTTTTGAACAGTACAGACCTATTTAGCCTAATTATTAATAATGTATACACCTTCAACATAATTATTATTTTGTGATGTTATCCTATAAGAATGATTTTGCTTGCATTGCAAACATGCAATGGGAACGATGTGTGGTCTTGACAACAATAAAGAAATGATGCAGATAGAATAGAATCGAGTCTGACTCTGTGCTATTTTATATACTAAATATATAGTTTTAACAGGGCGTCTCTAATGTATCTGATGAGCATTTCACCTGTTCAGTCAGGCGAACGGAGTAAACCGGGCGGGAGGATATAACAGACTCCCGGGGGGGGGACATTATTCTGTCTCTTTAACAACAAACTCCTAAATGGAGCTAACATTCGCTGGGTTCGTGTGCTGCGAAATAGAATAAAACGGGCCGCTTAGAATCGGTAAATGGATTTAAAGGTCATAACACCGCGAGAATCTCCGTAGGACTTCATCGTGCGTCCTCCCCCCTCGCGGTCCCTTGATGGTACGATCCGCTACTGCAGGTCTTATTCAGGCAGCCACATCGTTTACAGCCCGGAGGACCGTGCGAAGCACCCGGGCCAGAAGCGGACACCGAAGCAAGACTCGGAGGACTGTCCCGGGACGCTAATTACGTGTCTCCGTGTCCGGATTATTACCGATCGCCGGTCGTTAGCAACCGGAATGCGCGCGGTGCGGCCGCTGTGTGTGTGCCCGCCCGCGCGTGCGTGTGTGTGTGTGTGTGTGTGCGCCGTCGGGATTCGCGAAGCAGCGGCGTGGCGACGGGGCGAGGACGATATGCAGATAAATACTGCATCTGATTGATGAGACACTCGCATGGCTCCGCTGGCAGTGAATGTGCGCCACATTCCCGATGCACCTCCACCTGCAGCCAATGAACGGTGATCCTGGGCTGATGGGGATTTGTTGCTTCGCCCTGTCTACCTCGTTTCATTTATTTTAAGCCATTGAATTGAATGGAAAGGAGGTATCAGAAGGAGCTGTACGCCACTTCACTGCTTTGCCGTAATCTAAAAGGCCAAGTTCATTCCATGCAGGTGACACCTTGGTGCTTTTGTTTTGCGTGCAGGACACAATTCATAACAAGGGTTCAGGTGTCCTCATGTTACATTGAATAAGGATAGATCCAAACCTGTGGCATGCTTGATCTCAAGATGAAGGAAACCTGTCGCGTCTGTGGACGGGAGCTCTGCGGTAACCAGCGGCGATGGATCTTCCATCCCGCCCACAAGCTCAACCTGCAGGTGCTGCTGTCTCACGCTGTCGGCCGAGAACTGACCCGGGACGGCAGAGGCGAGTTTGCCTGCTCAAAGTGCACCTTCATGCTGGACCGCATGTACCGCTTCGACACCGTGATCGCCCGCGTGGAGGCCCTGTCCATCGAGAGGTTGCAGCGTCTCCTGCAAGAGAAACACCGGCTGAGGCAGTGCATCAGCGGGCTCTTCCGGAAAACCAACTCTGAAGAGGATGCAGTGACGTTGCCTGGAGGGGATGACGGAGCAGGAGACGGAATGGTTGACATTTCTGGTCTCACGCATGCCAAGTACTGTGCCCTGCTACAAGATGATCTGGTCTACTCTTTGTATGAGTCCTGGGCCGATGACGGTCTGGACTGTCAACACCACCACCACCACCACCCTCAGAGTTCTGCTGGTCCAGAGTCTGAGGTTACAGTCGCAGGCTCACACCGCTGCGTTCCCAGCACTCCCAGGAAGTGTCGGGGTTGTTCCTACTGGCGGGTGGCGGACTCTGACTATGAAGCGGTTTGTAAGGTGCCCAGGAAACTGGCACGGAGTATTTCCTGCGGGCCGTCATCCCGATATTCGGCCAGTGTTGTTGGAGGGAGCGTGACCGGCGGAGGAGGCGACGGAGAAGGAGAAAAGAATAATGTGGAGGATTCGGAAGAACCGCCTTCCTCTTTAACTCTGGTCCCTGGTTCCCAGGACCCCTCGAGGTCATCGGATAGTGATCGCACACTGGCCGGACGAGCCAGCTCCAGCTCCTCTGTAGCATCCTTAGAGGCGACTGAGGAGTACATTCAGCCTGCAGCTGACGGGCGGCTGAGGTCCCCCAGGGAACTCCTAGATGACCGGATGTCTGACTCCCTCTCCGAGGAGCACGTGGGAGCCTCACCTGGACCCGGCCTTTCCATGGCCCTCTGTTTGCTGCAGAGCTGTGCCGCCTACCGGCCTGTCCTGAGCTGTAAGGGGAGCAAACTGCCAGTGCTGCTCCGACAAAGCTCCAGTAATGGGGGCCCGAGGCAGGTCTTCCCTGATCCCGTTCTGGGTGTGTCTTATGGAGCTCCAGAGGGAGAAAGAGACAACCACGTGCCAACACCCGAGCTGGAGACCCCTCTGATCAGACTGGTTGATCAGGATCTGAACCTGCCTCACATGGAGGATTTGTTGGATGATTTGTATAGAGAGTATCCTCCCCCGCGTCCTCACCAGGTATAAAACAGCAACAAGGATGGAGATGAACGCAGAGGTTACTGTGTTTGCCAAGGTGCTGAATCTGCAGCAGATCACAAAATGATTACTCCCACCACTGTTTTTTAAATACTTCAGCATCAGCATCATCATAATCCCACTGTCAGACACTAAAAAGCTTCTCCAACAAGCTTTTACCTTGGCGGATGCTGTGTGTGTGTGTGTGTGTGTGTGTGTGTGTGTGTGTGTGTGTGTGGGAATGCATTACATGAGCAGTCTAGTTCGGGTAAGCAGTTACATCCGACATGGCCTAATTACCTAATGTGTGCGTGTCTTCACTCAAAAAGGTCATTAGTCATGTCAATGAGGGAGAACGCACACATTGAATAGTAAAGGCACTATTTAATGTGTGTAAATGTCTCTAAATTGAATATGTATTACTTGTATATTTAAGTGGTTTTACATTAAGATGATGATGATGATCTACAGTGAAATCATCAAAGATGCCAAATACTGACAACAGCCCTGCAGACAAATTACCAGTTACAAACTATAAGATTTCCTCCTCACTACGCGAAAATGCCTCTCAACAATAGGTTTTAACGGTTGTTATTGCCTCTGTGGGAGCATCGAGCGATGGCTGAAGTAGGTTAGATGTGGGGAGACGTTAAGACCGAGTGACTCCACTACTGGCCTATTTACACAAAGAGCCCTCGAGGCAAAGTGCTCCACGCGGCGTCAGACCATCGCATCCTCTCAACTGCTTGGTTGGTATAATAGCCCTATTGAAATGATAAGTTGGTGTACTAATTTCTATTGGAAAAAATACATGGACTCTTCAAGTAAGTGAAAAGGTGGAAACTGGGTTATGTAAAGCTGATAGTGCCACAGTAGTGCTCACACAAAACTCATGCCCCCATCCCAGCATTTACAAGGTACAATAATGAATGGTCAGTTTTTACAAATTGAACACAAAAAAATGAAATAACTCAAAATAAACACATATTTCAGCTGCTTGTTTTGCTCAGAAGATTATGTGAGTTGACATTCACGAGTGGCTTTTAAATGACCGTCCCCACTTATTTTCATCCTTCCAGAGCCTCGTCGAGGAGCAGCAGAGTCAACTGAACCAGTACGAGTGTGCAGCCAGCCAGTGTGTCAGCGAGCTGCAGAAGGCCCAGCTTCAGGTCCAATCCCTGCAGGCCAAGATCCACGAGAGCGAGGCCAACAACATGGTATGCCCCTTTTTTTAAAGTTCACTCTTTCTGATGAATCCGTCTCGATTTCCCGGACGACCGCAGTCTCACCCGCGTCCCCCCTTTAGAAGCTGCAGGAGAAGCTGAATGAGATGGAATGTGAGCTGCGTTCAATTCGCCAGGCTGCACAGAGCCAGGAAAGAACCATCCAGGTTCTCACAGAGTCCTTCAGCACCAAAGACAGTGAGGTGAGTGTCGATCTTTGTTGCCAACCTGTGTGGAGTGACACCTTCCATCGATGAGAGATTCTCATACACGCAATCCATCCTGCACTAAGGCCCAGGAGCTGTACCAGCTGATGGAGGAGCAGAACTCCACACTGTGTAAGCTGAGAGAAATGGTCCACCGCAACCAGCTCGCTCAATTTAAGGTGAGGCTCTGTGCACATGTAGTGGCAGGATAGCGAGGAACCTCATCACGCTGACTTTCATCTGGTCCTTCTGAAGGCACCAGAGGGGGTCAACGAGTCTGTGATGCTTGCCAAGCTGCAAGGCGAGCTGGTGGGGGTGCAAAGCTCCTTGTTCTCCCTCGGGCTGGAGCTGGAAGCCAGCCAGAGGAGCCTGAGACAAAGCCAGAGGCAAGGAGACGACCTGTCGAGGTTCAAGGACAGACTCAACTCTGACCTGCAGGAGGTGCAGCAGCACAGGGAGGTCACCGAAAAGCACAACCAGGTCAGTGCGCTTGTGGATGTCGGTGTGAAACCGAGTACAAAAGACGCAGCGTCTAACCTCCCGTCTCCGCGCCGCAGCACCTGCGCGCCGCCCTTCAGAAAAGCCGCTCCGAGCTTCAGGCTAAAGAAGCGGCTCTGAAGGAGGCCGAGGCGGAGAGACGCGCCGTGGTGCAGGAGAACGAAATGAGCATCGCGCAGCTCAAACACTCTCTGCAGGACAAGGAGCAACAGCTACAGGTAATCACTGAAGGCAGTTGCATGAATGCACACGCGCGCACAGATTTCTGATCCTGGCCTGAAACCTTGTCTCTGTAGGAGTACTCGGAGATGTTGGATTCAACAGGAAGCTCCAAACCCAGAGACGCCCTGCTGGAGAAACTTAAGGAGCGTATTAAGGACCGAGACAGAGCTCTGGAGGTAAAACTCCCAAGGGCGTTCGCTAACGCCAGCGTCTTATAAATAGCCCAAAGAACCCCGATCGTGTTCCACGTGAATCATGGTAAAGTACACAGTGTGAATAATGCAAGAGTCTTGGGAATGGAGAGGAAAGACTGACAGTTTTCCAAATTTCCCCGAAATCAGTAGGTCAGCAAAAAATGTCCCAACTTGTGCAGTAATAAAAAATATTTTTAGCAGCAGGAGGGGAAATTTCCCAATTTCTGTTGCAACCCTACAGTTGGTTAAGAATCTTTCTTAAATATCAGATTCTGTTTGGTAACAAAAATATAAATTTCACACCCTGACTCGTGAAACTCGTGTGTAAGCAAACCGGAGCTTATCTGCTCAGAACGTGACGAATATCACGGGTTGAAAGTGCCCAGAATAGCAGCAGTGAGATTTTCCTCTCGCCATCCGCCATCTGCAGCGCTCCATCGATGACAAGTTCCGCTGTGTGGAGGAGCGCGAGGGCCAAGTGAGGAGGCTGCAGCTGGCCCTCAGGGAGAAAGAGCGGGACCTGGAGAGACTCCGCTGCATCCTGTCCAACAACGAGGAGACCATCACGGTACCAACTTCGGAAAGAGCAACACTGAATACTTTTTCCGACGGTATAAAGAAATATTGTGTTGCTGTTGTTTTTTTCTGTGTCGTGACCGTCAGAGTCTGGACGCCCTTGTTCGCGGCAAAGAGCTGGAGCTGGAGCAGGCGGCGGAGGCCTACAGGAACCTCCAGTGGCTGAAGCAGCAGAGCGAGGAGAAGGAGAGAAACACCCTGCGAGAGAAAGAGGCCATCATAAGCCAGCTACAGGCAGCTCTACAGACACACAGCCTGGAGGCACAGGTAACCCCCAGAGTCACAGCGTGCCATTGTTTGTTATGATATTTTCAAACCAGTCCGCGTAGAAAAACCTGTGCGACTTGTTTAGCAAATATATCCGGATACACACATAAGGTGCGATGACCTGATTTTTGTTTTGTGTGTTTGGTTTTACAGGATCTGACAGCAACCCTCGTCGCCAGAGTCCAGGCGGGTCCCACTGAGGTCGTAGAGGAGTTGAAGGCTCGGCTGGCGCTGAAAGAAAAACTCTTCCAGGAACTGATCTCGGATCGCAGCCGCCAGTCCAACGAACACCAAGCGCAGGTCCAGGAAATGCTCGACACGCTCAGCTCCAAGGATCAGTACCTGCAGGTGAGTTGCTCGCGTAGTTAACGGGAATGCGAGTGTGCACGACAAGGGCCTTTCAACGTCTGCATTCTCCCGTGCAGGACTACTCCTACAGGCTCTCCCTCGTGATTGGCGAGCGGACCGGTCAGCTGCAGGAGCTCCGCAGGCAGCTGTCCTCTGGAGAGCAGGAGCTGTGCGAGCTGAAACGGGACAAGGAGAGGGAAGCGGGAGGAGAGGCGGAGCACCTGCGGAGTCTGCTGAAGGAGAAAGAAGCCTTCATCAAGGTACCTGTTGCTTCCCTGGGGGGAGGGCGGGGGGCTTCCTCCCTTGCTTGACCTCCTGCGGACCCGATCTTCACGCTAATACTTGATTCTCCAGGAGCTGATGCAGGGCCAGGACGGAGGCCATGCAGCCGTCCTCCAAAGAGAGTGAGGCCGAGATGAAGGCTCTCCAGGAAGAGCTGCAGCTGCTGCTGAAGAAAGACAGGGAGGCTCAGGTATATGTGTGGACACTGTGATAATAACATAAAGACAATACCCCCCCCCCCCCCCCCCTCACCCACAAAAAACCTCACACGTCGCATACTCCCTGCAGAAGGAGCTCTCTGCTCTGCGTCTGTCTTTGGCTCGCCAGCAGGACGATAAGGGCGGGCGCCCGATCACCCAAAGTAGGACGTTTCTTCATTCTCAAACCAATAAGACAGTATTTGGGCTGTTTTGTGCTGCTTAATAACGTTCATTCATTGCGTATCTCACCAACCTTGCCTTGCCACTGTGCCTCAGTGTGTCCTGGAGCAGCTTGTGTCCGAGTACAACAAGCTGAACGACGCCCTGAGGGCGGAGAAGCGATTATACCAAAGTCTCACACACATTCACACCAAGAGCGACCGGTAGGGGAGCTGAACACAGGCCTCGTTTCCTGTAAACACAGCATGCTTGCTTTTTTCGTGTGTCGCTGCTCTAAAACCCATTTTGCTTTTCTCAGCTCCGAGCAGACCCAGGCCCTCCACACCGAGCTAGACTCGGTGCAGGCGCTCCGCAGACAGCTAGAGGAGGTCCTGGCGAGGACCCGGGACACGGCCCTGATGCTGGATCGGGCAGCTAAAAAGCAGCCTGACTTTGGAGGTGGGGATGGGCACCGTCGCTAACGCTCTGTCTGGCCACAGCGATGCCGAGCGACACTCTGTGTGTGAGACATGGAGCTGTTGGGTCACTGATGGTCGCATATGTTATAATTAAGTGTGTTTTGAAAATCTGACCGTCAGTTTTTCAGGTAGCTTCATCCAGCACGAGCCCTACTCACACTCACTAACCTCCAGGGTGTGAAGCAGCAACGCACGACCCGGAGTCTTATTTATCAATATGTGTGGTGTGAATACGTCTGTGTGTTGCGTTTCGCTTTGCAGTGCGATTGTTCTGTATTGCCAATTCTACTGTCGCTCTTCCAGCCTTACTGTCAGCGAAGTTACGTACCGGGGAGAAAAAACTCCAGCTCACGCCTTACGGGGGAACGTCTCGCCATCCATCATTTGTTTTTATATCATCTGTGTGTGAACAGGATGTGCCCACCTAACAAGGCCAAAGACACAAATCATACAAAGATGACAGAGTAGTTTCCTTTAGTTCAGCTAAACTTCGGATCGCTCTCATGCAGTTTTACCTGCTCTGTAATGTTTTAGCCTGACAGATCGAAACAAAACACAAGGTCATTTATATATTTAAAGTAGCGTGTTGGTAGTTTATATGTGTTGTTTTTAGTTAGTCTGGTTGTTGAACTTTCGCTCAGCTTTGTATAAAAAATGCAGGAAAATATAATCACGAGTAACTACTCGCTGCTCTATATAACAGATGTAATGTGAATAGCGGAAATAATACTTTCCCATTTAATATTTATATTAGGTAGAATACATTTTCTTGGGATTTGTGCTAATCTCTCATCTTGCCTCAGAGATGGAATCCTTGTCGACACTTTTTTTTTTTGTATTTATGCAACAGTAATAAAAATGTGCTCTTTTTTTTGTCAAAAGCACTTCTGTTTGGTGTGTTTAATTGGGAATTTGTCTTAATAGAATCCCAAATTGGAACCCCCCCCACCACCTAGTCCTTTATCTACCTTTGTTCTACCCACTGTGTGTTTTATCTGTCTGAACCACTCCTCTGTCATCCTCCGCCTCTTAATGTGTGCTGCTATGCTCTTTATCACATGGTTACATGCACAGATTTCTGTAAATAACTCAGTCCTCAGATATAAAAGTAAAACTATAACGTTTTGAGCTCAAATGATCGTGCATGATATTGTGGCATCGTGTCCATGTTTGCATGGCTGTTCTGCTGTAACGCCAAGTGAAACACTCGCAGCACTAACACAACAAATTCATAAACTAACAGAAGCTCACGTGAACCTTTAACTCAACGTCCCTGATCTCTCTTAGCGTGAAATCCACATTCCTTGAGCTGACAACGACACCCAAGTGTCCCCTTTCTGCCTTTCTATCTGGTGTGAGAGTGGTGACGACGTGTGCTGCCTCGCTGCACGTCCCGCTCTGCCGCTGGCACCACAAGCATATGACAAAAGTTTTACTTTGGAACTGGTTTTACGGTGGAGTCACATTGTGTGGCTTTGAATTTTATCCGGATTATGAACTAATCCCATAAAAAGTTCCAGAAAAAGTAATGAGCGACACACCTATACACAAAAGATACACATCTACTACACACTGCATGTGAGATGTGTGTGTCTGTTGTGTATCATCAGGGCATATTATGTAAAACTATTTTCCTTTGAAATACCAGCTGAGCTTTTTTTCACTGAGCCTCTGTGTCCTGTGTGTGTGTGTGTGTGTGTGTACAACATTTTAACACAAAACAGCTGCACACATGTCATTTGGCCACAAAAATCCAGACTAAACCTTTCACATTAGGTATTACAAATAAATAAATGAAAATCAATTACATTTGTTTTACTTTCTCATGAACACGCGCTGCCTTAAGTGTGTTTTTGGCTGGCAGGCCGTGTATTACTCAACATTTCCCTTTAGTCCCATGACAGAGCAGTGATTCCACTTATAAACAGAAGTTCTGGAAGGAAAGGGCTGGAGTGGATGCTAGAGGGGGAGACGATACACAAACCAAGAGTACAAAGAATATCAGGGGATTAGCAAACAGAAAGGAGATAAAAGCAAGCGGATATTTTAAATGGTTGCTATTTTTTTCAGAGCTCAGCACAGACGAAGAAAGGGAGGAGGAAGAGGAGGATGAAGGAGACGATGAAGACGGCAGCAGTGACGAGTTTACGGACAGCATAGAGGAGGATGATGATAAAGTGACGGCCAGAAGTTTGCCCCCCATTCAGGTAGAAAACCTCTACTTACATCTCGCTGATGAATGCCTTTAGAGCCGGGCGGTTTGTAACCATATATTTACGCTTTACTGTTGAAAACCTGCACTTAATGGCTTAAACGATGGCACAATAACAAACGTCATCGTCTGTTAAGGCTGGTGGAGCTGATTCGAAGCAGCTAGAGGAAGCAAGAAGACAGCTTAAAGAAGTAACGCTGCAGCTGGAGAGGGATGGATACGCCTCAGTGGCTCACATGAGGTGCGCATGTGTCTCAGAGATCATCTCCAAACATTGGGTTTTGATTGTCTAAGCTGCGCAGGGGAGGGGCTTAACTCTGGTCATGTCTTATTTGTCCTCCTGCCTTGTTCCTCTAGGAGTGCCCTGCAGAGGTTGCAGCAGGAGAACCGGGCTTTGAAAGGAACCAGAGGACAAGCCGGAGTTGTGGGATTGGGGACAAATCACAGCAGTTTGAATCAGGAAAAGGAGATAGAGGAGGAGGGAGATAATGAGGAAGAGGGCGAAGAGGGGGAAACATCTCTGTTGCTGGTGGGGAAGCGAGGTCATCCGTGTGCTGGTCTGAATGACCAGCGAGGGAAGAGGCTCTGCAAGGGCCCACCGTCCCCGAGGTCCCATCATCACACACACCAGCCCGAGACGGTAACGCAGTCTTTGTTTAATAGAAATTAAACTGCATGTCTCACGTATTACAGGAAGTTATTTTAACTCCTGAGACGCTAAAAACTAGGCAAACTCATACAGAAGATATTGTATTACTGCTTCGAATCATTGCAAAGCAGATCTCAATGAACTGTGCAGCAGCAGCATTGCCTCCAGGCCGCGTACGACTGTTTTGTTCTTCGAGTCAATGAAGCCGCCAGTGCACCTGCAGTTAGTCTGACAGATCTGACAGATCAGTGTGATAACACGCATGTTCCCGCTTCATATGTTATAAGGATGAAAGGGACAGGATTTCCCCTCTTGTGTATTCCATGTGAGAGTTGCTTAAGCGCGCGGCTTTTGCAGGAGGCGGAGCCTGTCGGTGACGGCAGCGAGGAAGGAGCGCTCTGGCAGGACGCGGAGGAGGGCCTCCAAGAGCAGGCGGCCCGCCTGAGCTCCGATCTGGCTGCGAGCCACCAGGAGAACGGAGAGCTGCGGGAAAGGCTGATGGTGTCGGAAGCCACGGTGCACGCTCAGGCCGAACAACTGAAGGACTACAGAGACCTGCTCAGTGAGTCGCTCTCTCCGGAGCGCGTAAAAAGGACATAACTCAAAACCTTTAATGAAACGCTGAGTAGTACACGGGATTCAAGTCCTTTCTTGCTTATGTCTCTGCAGCTGAGACATCAGTCCAGCAGGCCAGCAAGCAGGTGCAGGTGGACCTCCAGGATCTGGGTTATGAGACTTGTGGCCGCAGTGAGAACGAAGCAGAGAGAGAAGACGCCAGCAGCCCAGGTGACAGGCGGAGCCGGTCCCTCTCAGACGGACGCACAGCCGTCCTCCTCTCCTGTAAAACGCACCCACTGATCCGCATCAATAACGAACCAATGTGTCTCCTCATCTCTCCCTCCCCCCAGAGTTTGATGACCTGGAGATGTGCACGTCACTGTCCCACCAACAGGACTACGAGGGCGCGGGCGGCAGCTGGTACGCCGGCGGCAGTAACGCGGGTGAGATGGAGGACGAGTCCGCCTCTCTGCAGCCTCTGGTGCAGGATCTCCGCTCGCAGCTCAGCCGCTGCCACAAGGTGATCCGCGGGCTGCAGCTACGCGTCCGCTCGCTGTCCACCACCAGCGACTACGCCTCCAGCCTGGAGCGAACGCCACGCAAGGTGCTGCAGCGTTCACCGGCCACTCCGAATCTCTGACCCTCTGGCTTGCGTTCAGTTTTTGGTTAAAAATTATGCCCTTTTTGTTTTCCGTTGTATCCTCACCTTCTAGGTAAACTGGGCCTTCGAGACGTCACCAGCCCCCAGCGGCGTGGAGGAGGATGAAGGCTGGATGTCGGACACCCAAGGCATTCTGTCGGGGCCCAAACCCAGCAGGGAGCTGAAGGAACTGATGGCTCGGGTTGCGTCACTGGAGGCGCAACTGAAGAGCTCGAGACTGGAAGACAAGATCCAAGCAGAGGAGGGGAAATGCGCCACCTGGCCCGGGTGAGAGGACAGAGACAGATGAGTCAGAAAGGCCGTGGTTAAAGATAGCGGCAGCTGTTACACCTTTCAGATGGCACATGAGAATGATGACCCGACTCACGACCCTCTGTACTGTTTCCTCCCTCCCTCCACAGGAAGTACAACTCCCTGATTCAGGCACAAGCTCGTGAGCTGTCCCACCTGAGGCAGAGGATGAAAGAGGGGCAAGGAGTCGGCCACATCCTCACCCAGCACCTGGGCGATACCACCAAGGTGCTGCAAACCCTTCTGCACTAACTAACTAGTGACAGGTGGGAATGATACGAACTAGTAGTGTTCTCACACATGCTCCAATTCTGTGCTACTCGCAGGCCTTCGAGGAGCTGCTGCGGGCCAACGACATTGATTACTACATGGGTCAGAGCTTCAGAGAGCAGTTGGCACAGAACTCGGCCCTGGCACAAAGAGTGGTCACCAAGATCACCGGACGTAAGAAACGTGTTTTATAGTTTTCTGTTCTTGTGGCTCAAATGCTATGCTGTTTCCTCTCTCTTATGCTGTCGTTCCTGTTTGTGTCTCCTCCGTAGGCGACCGCGCAGAGAGCCACGAGGACAAGGCTGGCCATGAGCTGCTTGCCCTGCGGTGAGTCGGATCACTGAAGTGCTTTACGAGGGTTATATTTTACCAACAACAACAACAACAAAACACTGATCAATAAAATCCCCTGCAGCCTTGAAAAGCATGGGGGCGATTCGCAGAGCACTCACCCTCCTGCCCGAGTGATTAGTCTGCTTTGTCACGTGACCCAGCACACGGCTCCTTGTGGCCGAGGGGGGACAGAAGGTTGCTGTTAATCCACACGCAGTCCCCAGCATGGATCCTTTAACCTTAAGTTGATTTCGCTGAATAGACTTGTAGTGCAGGTGTCACACCAGCTGGGCTTAAGAGGCTCAGTGGGACCGTGTGACGGTCCTTTGCTGGTGTGGCCACATACGGCCGTGCCCTGTTCGCCTGTAGACGGTTGGATCTGTACTCCGTCCCTTATTCATGGGAATCTGCTATTTGGACATTACCAGCAACATCGACAGCTAATGCGATTTCTTTTTAGATTTTTGTATTATTGAGAAGGTAGAGTAAAACGTGACGGGAGTCAGAAGACAGCAGAGGCTGCAGAGCATCAAGACTTTCTGGACTGGACTGATGGCTCCTCTGTGGAAATCGATGATTTCCAAGAACAGCTCGATATACAAGAACTCTCTGTGGTCTTTTGCTACGGCTCGAGGACAAGCAAGGGAGACAGCTGTCCTTAGGATGCTGTTGGAGAGAGACAGGGAGTCAATGCTTCAGCAACTGAAACAGTAAGGGAAGTTACTTCATAGAGGCGGATACACTTTGAGATGATCGGTCCAGCTACAGCAGATGTTTGTCTCAAAATCAAGACGATGATCCGCAGAGAGGCTTCAAGGCTTGATCCTTATTTTCGTTATTGAGTCAGGTTTTGTCCATACAATGTGAATAAAAAGTGAAAAATCCCCTTTAAAATGCAGCATAGTCGGAGGAAACATGTTCACACGTCTTGTTTTGTCCGACCAACTGCATTAAAAAAAGGGAATGCCTAAAATGAATAAATAACTACATTTATAATCTAAATATTTGAAGACGTTTTTGCTTGACTAAGTCCTCCTCCTCTACACTCCTCCTTTACGGATAATCATGTGCACCCTTCATTAGTGTCTATCAATCCAAACTGTAATGGTTGATTGTCTTGTGTGCACACGTAGGCTGAGTAAAGAGCTTCAGCAGAAAGACAAAATCATCGAGTCCCTGCACACCAAGCTGCAGCAGCGTCCAGAGACCCCGTCCAGCTGCCACGCCCTCTCCGAGACCACCGACCAATCAGACAGGACGTCCTTGGTGTCTGATGAGTACAGAACCAATGAGGACTTGGAGCTGTCCTCCGACTTAGACGCCAAAGAGTATCAGGAGGAGCGCGAGCTGGAGCAGCCAGGACAAGGATCCGAACACGAAGGTAAAGTCTTTTTTCGGACGGTCCAACTCTCCATAATTCGAGGAAACTGCCTCGTCCTTCCTCTCACTTTCCATTCCCCTCATTTAGCCCATCCACCTATCCTTCATCCTCATGGCTTCCTTAAGTCCTCCAGCAGCTGTCCCAACATGCGTTGCTCAGCCCCTGTGAGTTTGACCAGTCCGCCCTTTGCAGGTATGAGTGTTACAGATGTATTTGATCTGCAAAAGTGCCCCAAAACCTTCCTCGTCCTCCTCCTTCATGTTCCGCATGTGTCATTCTCCTCCAGCCCTTTTCAAAGAGCCCGTCTCCCACTCCTACTCTTTCCCCTCTGGCCCTGACGTCTGGGGGAACAAAGTCATTTCTGACCCCCGGCCCAGGGCCCTGTCCGTGATCGCTGTTCGCCCAGAGCTCGACTCGCTGTACAAACTGATGAATGAGCAGAGCAGGGGTGAGGGCCTTGGGGGGGGGGGGGAGGCCGTGTGGGGGAGTGGTGTGCAAAAAGTGTAAATAAGGACTAAACTGCCTCAGTATGACAGCATCTCACTTGCAGATTAATTACATTCCTCTGTCGCCTCGTGAGTTGTGTTTTAACACACAGTTTGCTCTATTGTGTGTGTGTGTGTGTGTGTGTGTGTTTGGCGGCAGGCTATGCAGATCCCCATGAAAAGGCTCTGTTCACTCTCAGCCCGGGTCCCCACATGCAGCAATCCCATCAAGCCTGTCAACAGTACCTGCTGGGTGGCATTCCCGCAGGCCGCTCGATAAAGTCCGACTCGGGTCTCGCGAGGGGGCGGGCTTTGTGGGACGTGGACAACGCGGCTCAGCCAGTTGGAGGCTACTCTGGATCGTCGGCTCCCCAGCAGGGAAGCGGCTACGCAGGTGTGACTCCCGACTGTTAGTGATCAAGATGCAAAAAAAATCCTTCAGAAGAGTCAAATGATTACGACCGTTTTGTTGTTGTTTTGTCCCAAGGGGTGAATTTGATAGAGGAGCACCTGCGGGAGGTGAGGTGTCTGCGACAGCGTCTAGAGGAGTCCATTAGGACCAATGAGAGGCTCCGACAGCAGCTGGAAGAGAGACTGAACTCAACCGGCCGCGATGGAGGTACTGCAGCCGCCGCGGCAACTTTGCCACTTCTTTAGGTGTATGTAGGGAATTAAATACAACTTTCTTTTTGTCCAGGCGCGCCAACAAACATCTACATTCAGGGACTGGACACTGTCGCTCAACTGTCCAATGAGATCCGAGTCCTGAAGGAAGAAAACTTGGGCCTAAAGTCACACCTGCAGGCCAGCACAGGTTCTTCATGTTAAAGTTAGAATTATTTTCCTCAGGAACAGATGCATGTTTCCCCATTCTGAACTCTTCACTTTCCTCAGACACTTGTGAGGAGGTGGTGCAGTTGCGGGAGGCGGTGTTTGCAGCACGCGCCCGCCTCAAACAAGCAGAGCTTGAGGCAGAGCAGTGGAAAGAGGAGCTCAGGCGACTTCAGGCCCACACCCAGGAGCAAGGACAGCAGATACACATATTAAGGCAGGAGCGGCAGGCCAGTCAGGAGAAAACCAACAGGTTGGTGTGTGTGTGTGCCGATCCATTCGTTGTCTGTGTGAGTACACATCTAAACGCTGACCGTGATGTATCCTCAGGCTCCAGCATGATGTGTCTCTACTGCAACAGCAGCTATGTGAGAGCAGAGAGCTCATTCACTCCCTGCAGAGTGAACTGCAAGTGTACGACCGAGTGTGTTCCAGCACAAAGGCCAACAAAGGTGAGGCCTGTCCATTGGGCAACAGCAGTGCTGGTTTTCTCACACTTTTTTTGTATCGCTTTATGTTTTCACCATCACGTGTGCAACGCACCTGGGAATAAATGGTTTTGGTTCTGATTCTGATTCGGCTGAATATGCCGAATGCTGAATATTCTTTTAAGTTTAAACACCTGCCCAATTACTAATAAACAGGTAATCAAAGTTCACGGTATTGCTGTGCCGTGATAAAACCCTCCAAACCCCAAGAAGCCGCTAAAGCGGGTGCCTGTCCAGTCCAGGTGATTGTGCGTTTGGTTCCCAGGCTTCCTGTGTGAGCTCCCGGGTCTACCGGTGGAGCTGGGGGAGCTGCTCGCCGAGGTGAGGAGCCTGCGAGCCCAGCTGCAGAACAGCGTCCAGGAGAACAGCGCCCTCAAACAGCTGGAGCTCCACAAGCAGCTGGAGCAGAAGCTGGGCGTGGGCTCCCCTCGGACCCCCTCCCTCTCCGCCCTCACTGCCAGCCCTCAGAGAGAGAACTTCTACCGGCGACAGCTGCTGCACGGTGAGTCGCCCGCTTCCAGATAAGTAGCGACACGCTGTTTGTGAGGCCCAGTGTGCTGTGGTGTGCTTTGCTCTGTTTCCAAGTCTGCTTTGTGTGTGTTTGTGTGTGTGTGTGTGTGTGTGTGTGTGTGTGTGTGTGCTCCACAGACCCAGCTCCGTCTCCACCGGTCAGGGACATCGGCCTGTTTAACTGTGGATCTCCCGGTCCTCCCTACTCGGACCTGGATGACAGCCACAGCACTGCCAATGGTGTGATTTTAACTGCACTGCATGTTTGCAACTCAATCTGTCTCAAATGTGTGGCATGATTTTCCTGTAACGATAATAACAGTGTGTCTTTATTTATGTGTCCGAACAAATATTGTTAGTTATATAGATATATAACTTCTGAACTCGCAAAAGAAACCGGATAATGTCAATTAAATTCTCATCCCAAATGATATCTAACTGTGTTCTCCCCAACAGACCCTCTTGACCCTCACTCTGAGCTGGAGGGGGAGGCCCCCGACGGATCGTTTGCAAACCGCAACGGCCGCCACGCCATCGGTCATGTGGACGACTTCAGCGCTCTGCAGCAGCAAGTCCTGGAGGGCAAAGGCCTGGTGCAGCGCATGGAGACGACCCTGCAGGCCTGCCTCGGACCGCAGCTGCTGGAGGGCAACCAGAAGCAACGTAGTGAGCTGGTAAGAGCCAAAAGGTCAAAGTCAGCCTTTCAATGACAACAAGGCACAAATATGTATAACCGAGGTCTGCATGCAGGTCCTGGACTACGGGTGTGTGAAGAGTCTGCTGTCCAACACCAAGACTCTGAGACAGATCCTGGAGGAGGCCATGTCCCTGCTGAGGATGTTCTGGAGAGCAGCTCTTCCCAGCACGGATCCCTCGATCCAGAACCTCAAGAAGGTTTGGGACACATTTTCATATAAGCCTGCAGTCTGTTACACTATTCACGTCCCATAAAAAGTCCAACATCAACTATTTGATGGTCTCCTTGTGTTCCATTTCTCCAGCACAAGATATTTAAACAGATTGTCAGATAACCGATTTCCTTAAACTAATATTTTCTCCAATTATTTCTCAGAGGGGGTAGATAGTGTATACCGGAACATGTTCTAATGTGAATCTGGCAGTGAGCAGCAGGACGACATATAATGCTCACGTGTGTGTGTGTGTCTGTGTGTGTGTGTGTGTGTGTGTGTGTGTGTGTAGGAGCAGAACATGCAGGAGGAGATCTTGTCGCTGAGACTGCGTATGTCGGAGCAGGAAGATGTCCTTAAGGGGACGATTCACCGACTGAGGAGCACCAGCCGCACCAAGGAGAACATGGAGCACTTCATTGTCAACCAGTGTAAGTGTCTCTGTGCCTTTGGGTGTGTGACAGAGACAGATAATCACAGCAATCTTTTACCAAAGCAGAACTCTTAGTACCTCTCAGGCAAAGATGGGCGAGGAGAATAAATAAATGAGTTCTGCTTACGCTGCTCTCTGCAAAAAGTGAAAGGAAAGAATGTAGGAAGGAGTGTTGAACAAAACAGAATAAGGTATGACTAAACAAATAAAATAAAAAATGAAAGAGAGAGAAAGATATCTTCAGAGCAGAAAATAATGCTTGTCCATTCCCGAGTTCTAGATAAATTTCATGTTGGGGATTTGGAGAGAAACAATAAATTATAAATCAAAATGCTTAAACACCTGATATGTGTTACTGTAATTTGCCTGTCACTGCATGCAGCATATGATGTGTTGACATGGAGCTATCAAGTGTCGTGTAATACAATACGCACACATATTTTGTCCTTGTGTTGTGCAGTGTCAAGGACGCGTGACGTCCTGAAGAAGGCAAGGACAAATTTAGAGGTAAGCGAACATCCCCATTATATTGAGGATATCATACATTATATATGTGTACGTGTGCACACTCCATTGCTCACAATATTATGTGTATACGTGCGGTATTTTGTGATATCCCTGGTGTCCTCATCACCTTTGGTTTTCCTGCCTTTCTTGTTTCTTCGTCCTGCATTCGTGTCTCCTCTCCTGCTTTAAACCCCCCCAGAAGAATGAGCTGAGACTCTCCTCTCTAAGCTCCTCCTCTTCCTCTCCTTATGATGGTAATTGTTTGACATCTTGTGATCTTGCAAACAGGTACATGTTGCCCCAGATACACAGTTGTGTAAGAGTGACTGTGTGTTCTGGGGCAGCTTTTACCTCCGTGTGGATTTAGCCCCCCATGCCATACAAAGTGTGTGTGTGTTTGTGTGTGTTTGAGTATTGCATTGCTTATTCTCTGATCAAACATCCTCAGCGAATCGTATTGAAACTAACATTACGTGAGGGAAATGGCGCATGATTGTACTCTAAGTATCTAGTTAATGACAGAGCCAGGTTAGCAAATATATCAACGTTAGCATGAATTTCTCTGCAGAAAGACGTATTTGCCAGAATGTGCAACTCTTCCTTCAACGTTTCACTTCCCCCCAAAGTTATTTGCACGAGGATCGTTGAATAATGACAAACATCCGGTCGTCTTATTTCTCCCACGAACTCAGTTGAGGACGCAGGAGTTTCTGCCGGACAGGGGCCTGCTGATCGCACTTTCGTGAGGACCGGCGGTGCTTCCGGAGCGGCAGCCAATCAACGCCCGGCTGCGAGGAAGCGCAGCAGCCAATGCCTGCATTAGACTTTTAAAGAACCAGCCTCCATGCCACCACCTCTGACCTCTGACCTCTATGCTGAAACACCCTCCTCACCCCACAACCACCCCAGCCTAACGTCCCACCATGCGTCCTTGCGTCCGTCCGCAGTATAATCGGCCTCCTGAGGCTCCCACCACGTGTGTCATTGTCTTTGAGTGATGCCGTCGGCAGAAGGCCTCAGCGTGTGTGTGCGTCTGTGTGATGAAGGTGTTTGAATGGTGCCTCTGGTGGTTTTAGTGAAGTGCGTCCTACTGACGGAGCTGGTTGAGGATGCTCCCAGAGCGCTGATCTCAGACCAGGTTTGTCCCCTCGATCTGGTTTCAGCAGAGACCCTTTTGGTTGTATTACAGAAACTTTCAAGTTAATTATACCAGTTTAAGAGCTTTTCAAAATAATATATTTAGATGGGATGGTTTACATATTGGGAAAAATGAACTGTAGACATGAGGTCATTTTATTTGCAAGTTCAAATCAGAGGTTTCTATAGTAAACCCCCTGATCTGTGTCTAGGAGCATCTTCTTTTGAGAGCCAGACAGCGTGCGGACAGAACAGATGGTCATGCATGTTTAATCGTGGCTTGAGGAAGGACACGCCGTGTGTGTGTGTGTGATCAAAAACTGCTCACTCAAAGACATCCAAACTTTGACAGAAGTGCAAGTTTACTTATTGCGGCACTTTTACCAAGGAATTTATTATTTAATTCATCAAATATATTATTATTTTTGCAAATGCGAAGAACAAAGACACCCACGTTGTAACCCTAGAAACAGTGGACAGGACGTAGGCGTGTAGTTGCATCTGTAATGGGGGGAGCCGAGGGGTTGAAAAGGGGAACAGAGTCAGAGAAAGGTTCCATTTCAGTCACAAACCTCCTCTTCTACAATTCTATCAGTGCTTGAAATAGAAGTACTGAAAAAAAACGAGGGAGACATTTTAAATTTATACTTGAGGTTTCAAAAAGTCAGTCAAATATTTTTCATTTCTGAGCAAGAAGTACACAAAAATATGTAGAAATAAATTTAAGAAAGAGGTTAAAGTGCTGAAATGGAACCAGGCTAAACACGCGTATTCAAGCTCCTCTGTAGGAGTTCTCATACGAGCATGTGCAATAATGTTTCTTCAATGATATTCTGCACCAGGTTTTTGTTTTCTTTGCTTTACACCGGATACTTTCTACTGGATGGTAGGACGGGACAGTGGATTGCCAGTAGCCTACTTGCCAAACTTTGAACCTTGAACTCTTCACTTTGACTTGACTTGCCTTACCCATGCGAATGACAAACCCGGGTCGAATCGGAGCGCAGGGATACCAAGTGAGGGCCTCCAGAACCACTGAGACGCTAACTGTTAAGACAGCTGCGTCAGTACACCTCGAATTGTGACGACGAAATGAGCTCCTTTTTTGGACCAAAATTGTGGATTTTCCCACCTGGCCGTGTTTTATTGTCTCTGTATTATTTCCCTTGGTTCAGCATTCCCACGGCGACGGCAATTTAGGTCATGAAGATGTTATGGATGATGCAAACTTTGGCAGACTACTGGTGGGATCATTGATCCTTCATTCATTCAGTTTGAAGAGTTCTTGCTGTACATTAGCCATCTTGTGCTGTAAATAACCTGCTTGTCTGTATGAACTTTTGGGTGAATTTGTGAGTGCGCGCTTGTGAGTGCGTGTTTTAAAAAAAAAGACATCCTACATTTGCAAAGTTGATTTTCTGGGTCGCTGTGCAATAGCTTTATGTGTTTTATTTTGATGTTAAACATCACTGTAATACGAGTGTGAATGTTGCATTCACTTCCTGCGACGTATGATTTATGTGTTAGAGGAATATGTCGCATAGGCTGGTAAGAAATCCCCAACGATGCCTTCATAATAACTTAGTCACGGATCCCTACATCCTCCTCCTATAACAAAGCCCTGATTAATGTTGCTTCGCTTGCCTTTCAATTTGTTAGCTTGGGAGCTTCTGCGGTAGCGTTGGCCTCGAACTCGCGCTCATCTACCTGAGATCTGCCAAATTAGGTCTGTTTGCGCTCGAGTCTTCCAACAAAAAGTTGGCATGTATTTCAATGGATTTAAAAAAAAAAAAAAGTTTGATACTTCCTTTTGAAATTTAAAAAGCCAAAAGGCAAAGATTTTGGAAAAAAATGTCTGCTGTCAAAAGAAAAAGCCAATGACTGGAAAGATTATGATCCACAAAGCACCTTGTTAGAGCTCTTTGTTGTTAAGGGAATCAAGCAGCAGTCCAAGTATTGTTGGTCCTGATTTTCGTATGCATATACTGCTATTTGATTGGTGCAGCTTCGATGTGATAGGAAAGCAGTTTTTTCTGAGTTTGTGCATAATGAACTAGAAAGCCGATACAGGACTCGTATGGATCCCGTCTCTGATGACGTCAACAGTGTGCTGTGTTGGCAAAGTGTTACCAGTGAACGATTTAAGAATTAATAAAAACACTCAAAGATTGTGTGGTTTACTTTTAGAGGATTTGAAATTTGAAAGCGTTTGTTGTATATTTGGATCCCTATTAGCTTCGGTCTGTGCTTTTGCGAAAAGATTAGAGTTTGTGCCTTTGTTCATTTAAAAGTAGCTTAACGTCAGATTGTTTCATCAGAAATGGAGCATTGAGACGTTGCGTCTGCGTTTGTCTCGCAGTAGAAAATATCCACTCGTTCAAGCTTTTTAAAAACCATTCATGAATATTTTCTGCAGGACAAGGGTACAAAAACTAGCAAAATAGGGTTCTTCAAGATCACATGGATGAAATCAATGACAATGATCAAAAACAGACTTATGTCAGATAAAACATACAAGAACCAAGGAAGACAATACGATTCAATAGAAATCTAAAAGGAACCAATAAACTGTTTAAGAACCAACAGCTTTATATACATAATGCTGGCTTCAGTTACCAGACAAAAAGAGACAGACCACAGACAGGAATTAGGACCAGCGTATCCGCTCTTTATTTGCAGAGTAAAACCGTGTACAGAGAAACACCTGCAAAGCATTTTAAAACATTCAGGAAACGGTCATGAAAATTTTTGGGGTTTTAGCCTTACAACAGCACGATGGCACTTCCCCTCAAGCTCTTTTCATGGGGAAAAAACAAAAAAACCCTCTTTGGACAAAACTTCTCTACTAGACTCAACATTCATAAAATACTTTGAGAGCGTCTAGTTGAACATGCAGAGGAGTTATGAGAGCCCCTTTTAAGAGCCTGTCAACCATTGATACATTTGGTATCAAACAGCACAACTTGACACAAATAACTAAAGTATACACCTTAAAATCCAGTTTATGTCTAACAGCTATACAGTAAAATACATCTCTCCCTCCTCATAGCCCTGTAAATTCATCTGAATGTGGACCAAACTCAGTAAATTGTGTCGTATCCTCGCAAGTTGGGAGCATTCGACGCATGCAAAGCAGCAAGTTTAAGCTGTTGAGGTGAACACATTTGATGAATAGAACTCATGCAGGTGCATTCAAAAAGCACTGCAAGATCCTCCTATCTAAAGAAGCAAAAGCAAACATCGGGCAGAGTTGTCTGCTGTGTAAATAAAAGCTTATATCAACGCTCCAGCTCTCAGTGTTCACAGAAAGTCGAGATAAAAAGCCTTCGACCTCCATTCTCTCTGTGGAAAGTGGGCTTCTCTTGATGAAACAGACAGTACTCCTACAGTGAGCAACAATAGCAGCTTACGCAACATTATAGATTCCACTGTACGAGAGCTTCACTGTCGGGAGATCAACGATACACGCGACGGGAACCGTTAAAATAAACTCTTGTTTTCGTATGTTGAGTTTGGTTCTCTTTACAGCTCGTTATTGCACTTCATGTGTACGCTGTGCTCAGTCTGCTGCACCGGTCGACATCCACACCACGAATACTTCAATTGGTTCAAAACGTAACACAACAACACTTCAAAATCAAACAGTGGATCTACACCAAGAGCACTTTTCTTAAAATCACCATGGCAGAAACTGACCCAATTCACAGATCAACCCGGCACTCGTTTTACACCCGCTCATGCATATATTCACAATGTGCAGCCAGCAGTCAGAACAGCGATTTGCTCAGTCTCTCATCTGTGCGTAGATGTTACAGGTAAAAAGCCACACTGCGGGTTTCCTCTCTCCAACAGCCTACACACACTCGCTACTTCTATCCAGAGCCCCATGCAGACAGAACTGCAGCCTTTGGAAAACCAAGCTGAAGTCGCGGCCACCGGCCATTTGGCTCGCCTGTAAACTTGTTGCAGTGCAAGACTTTGCTAAATGTGATGATACCGAAAACCCCCTCCTGAGAAATAGAAACATGCTGCTCTCTAAAAGCACCGTGGAGCTCCCGAGTTGTGCTTTAGATAGGCTTATAAAGCAGAGACGTGACGTATTTCTTCTTGTATCTGTGAGTCGCACTCAGCACCATTACTCCATCCTGCACAACACAACACACAGGAAAGCCCCCGTTAGAGAGAAAAGACCGGCGAGCGATTAAACATGAGATGCTTGTATACGTGGAACTGCAAAGCGCTTGCTTTAAAAGCTCTATAGGATATTAAACCATTCTTTGCCATGTAAAGACATAGTGAGGTGAATTCTAATTTTACAGAGTCACTCTTCCTCAGCGTGTGTCGTAACTTGACCATGTGCGCCTGTTAGTGTACATTAGTGCATGAAGCGTAGCACCTTCGCTCTGGTTGCTGCTTGCAGCAACACTGCGAGCTGTCAGCGCCGTTGCACTGTTAAGACTTAGCTACGAGCGGCCGGCTCGGCCGTAGCCCCGGTGAGAGCCATGTGGGGGGAATAAATAGGCTCGGAAATTTGATATTTAAACATTTGTTGTACAGTTTTGGTGGGTAGATCATTTCTTCAGAGACAACAATAATTAATTAAAAGTAAATCTGCAATGAAATGTGTCAAAATGGCGCTCCATCGAATTGCGTTGCTCAGAGAGATATAAATAAAATAGCTGGAGGGGGAACATGTGTATTCCATGTGCTGCTATTAAGGTGCGGAAACGTGTGAGGAGCATTTCATCGGTTTCCAGTGGAACCTACCTTAATTGAGAGGGCGTAGAGGTGGTTCAGCATGACATGGTTGGGTTCAGGCAGCAGGGCAGGGTCACACTGCCGACAAAAGAGGAAGCGGAAAACTTACAAACCATAAAGAAACTGCTAGAAGCCTCATTAAATCAAGCTCGGAGAAAAAGACAGCGTTAAATCGGAATCGTAGATAGATGGAGACCCTGACAGATATATTGGTGTCCTTTGTTGAGAATGACTTGGAGGAGGTGAGGAGGGAGTATGGGTGGGGCTTTGAAATGCTCCTCCGGCCTGAAGATGTACTGCTCCTGCCCATATGGACCTGGGGGGGAGCTGGACAGATCTGCAACCATTAAGAAAAGGCAAAATAACACATCTGATGGGGTTTAAAGGATTAATTAAACTTTACATTACAAAATATGTCTGTTTCTTTTTTCATCAGTGTTTTCGGTAGCTGACCCGATGTGTCCGAGCACTCCAGAGAGTCAACGTGAAGGGCATCAAACACCTCATAGTCGGACTTCTTCACATGGATTAGGTTGTTGATGGTGCCGAGTTGACTGGTTACAACCGCCTGCATAAGAGAAATGTCCCAAGAACCTTTATTTTTATTAGAATTATTTTTAACGCTGTCCACATTTCCCAGGAATTTTAAAAAGGTTTTGATACAAAAAGCAGGAAAGTCTGGAACTAAACCATTTGGGATTAAGGAAAAACTCAATAAAACCAAAATATGAAACCGACGTACCTCTGAGGAATCATGCACCCACTGTCCGTCTACAAAGAACTTGTACTGGTGCTCTCCTTCTGGCAGGTCCAGGATTGCTACAAAGTCGTTATGGCTTTAGAGCAAAGAAAAGTATTGGTGCAATAGTGATCATTAGTCTCAGTAAAAACTCTGGTGCAACATATGGTTGGAGCTTCCATTCCAGTACCGTCACGTACAGTATGTGAAAGAGCAAACATGTTTACCTCTTATTTAGTGGTATCTTTGTGCTCCAGTTATTAAATGAACCGGCTATAAAGACCTCCTTCCCCCCTCCAGCCCAGCGGATGACTGTGGGTCGGGCCTGAGGACCAGTTTTCACCTGGTCAGCCACGTCAGATTCTTTCTCTCCCAACACCTAAAAGCATGAGTATATATCTCAACTAAAAATACAAATATAATCATATCTAACAAATGGCAGCGCAATGAAAGGTATTTCTGTGGAACAAACAAGATTACCTTGGACTCTGACCCGTGGGTGTTGAAGATGTTGGGGTCGTCTGTGCTGTCCACCATCTTGCTGCTGCTGATTTCTTGGTCTTTGTGACTGCCGCCGCTGTCTGAGCGGTGGGCTTTGGCTCCATGCCGATCTCCAGACACTCGGTCACTTGTGTTACCCATGATGTCAGCCTGTCTATGGGGCTACCATGTTTGGGAACAAACCAGATATCCATAGATCAACTAAGGGAATCACACAATAGTTGGTGTTGAGCTCATATCCCATCATACGGTTGGTAGATAAGAACCAACCACAAGCTGAACGAACACGTTACAGAATCTGATCAACCTAAAGATCTTGTGTATGGTTTTGCTTTCATGCAAAACCAATGCAATCAATGATAAGCATCAACATATCATTGACACCAGGTTCCAAAGTGTTGTGAATGCTGGCAATGGACAAGCCCCAGTTTGTGACTCCTGTGCTGCTGTTATGTGTTGATTGAAAAGCTCTCACTAACTATTGTACCCTTCATCCCAGATCTTGGTGGCCTTCGTGAACCTCGCAGATTGCTCCAGTCTGGAACCACTCGGGAGACAGATTTAGATACGCTGATCCAAGGGGCTTGGAATGTGTAAATGCTTCTTAAGCTGGATCAGTAATGGTACAAAACGTGAGGTAGACGCCGGCTAGCCTCGTGCCATCGTCACAGAAAACAACTAACGTTAGTTGTAAACTATCAGTGTGATATGTGGCTGATCTAAAATGGGTAAACACCACTTCTTAAGACCTACATTACGAGTCAGAGGCTGCTTCCCCAAGTGGATTAACAGAAAGCCTCGGTTTGCCAGACAGCTTCAGATCCAAGTGTCGGTCACTGTGAACCTGCAGCTAACGTGTTAGTAACGTTAGCTAGTTAGCTAGCCGTTACAGCCCCAACCTTTCCGCGCAGCTCCGTCCCGTTATTGCCCACAAGCTGTTACTGAACTTAACGAGCAACAGGTTCCCTCCCAAATTCAGCCCCAGAGACAACGTTGCCGTTAATTGAGAGCCTTTAGTGAACGTGAATTGCTGACGTTAGTCTCAACCCACCAACGCGTCCCCTCCGCTCAGCGGGGTCGACCTCAAAACACTTGGACGGGAGAATATTTTTAGCTTGCAGTCGGCTAGCTGCTAGCTGTCACTTTTTAACAACTAACTTGGCGCGCTGTTTGCCTCATTTACGACGTCAGTGTGGATTATTACACCGCGACACAAACCTCACCATTTAACGCCAGGGAAGATAAAACAAAATAAACTCACCGTAACCAATTGAAGTTAGTTAAGTTAATGTAGCGGCTACGTTATATTTTCGGCCGGTGGCCTTCAACCAATCAGAGCGAGTGGTGGGGCTTCATCTACGGTGCGCGACGAGGGCAAACTTAGTAGGACCATTCGACTTTTCCGATAAATAACAATGCAATGCAGGCGTGGTGTCTTTATAATGTGTAGTTTACAGCAGAGTTATAATCTGTCAAGCAGCAGGACACTATGTGTTTTAGACTTTAAAGGCCTCATGCGGCGTGATATGTTAATGTCCTCTTGGTTTGTCTGACATTTATTCATGAATAATTATTAATAGCAAAAGCAATATACTGCACACACTTTCAAAGTTATTTTACTTGGATAATGTATCTTCATTTACTGCACAGAGGGCATTTATTCATTTGGCCAGAGCCCAAATTACAGACACAGAGGATGGAATACCTTTCTTGTGGTTAGTCTGTATTTTGCCTGCATTGTTCTATTTATATCTACTAATATCTATTTAGTATTTACTAATTCCACTGCTACCCATTTAACTTCTGTCCAGCTCATTTTTATTAGGCCAGCTAGCAAGGAAGAATGCCTGGTACGATTTTCCAAAAGTTGAAAATATTACTATGATCTTGCTTACTTCCATTCTACGTAGCTACATTTTCAGTTCAGTTTCAGTTTTGAGTTGAGCATGCAAATGTCAGAATGAGGATCAGAATCAGATGAGTGCATGTGCCTGGTCTTTATTAGCCACTAGGTAGAGCTGTTAACTCAGCTCAGTCATTCCCACCCGGAAGAGTGCAACTTTACACCACAAAGCCATTTGCTCACAAGTAAGCCTCCCAGGAAAGACCATGTTAAACTTCCAAGTGAAGTTTCAACATGTTCAGGCTTGAAACTGGAATCATGACCAGTTTTTGTAAAAAAAAAAAGAAAAAAAGAAAATCCAGATAAATGTAATATATAATAAAGACAATAGGCTGTGTGGAGAAAACAGTCACACAACGTTAAAGGTAACAGTATCCGCTTGCTGGAGTCTAAGTGGATTTTATGTTGTTACAATCATGCTGTGATCAAATTAGAAGTAAAACAAGACAAAAACACCCCACTTGCAAGTCAAATGACCAGTCATTGTTCATCATAAATAACAGTAGCCATCACCAAAACCAGTATGTGATCATAAATGAAAACATGTATATACACACAAATGCGTGCAAGAGTATATTTGTAGTAAAAAAACAAAAAAACACATCCATCCACACTCATAAAGTGGCTGTAAGGCACATTTAACTTATTATCAAATAACACAAGAATTTTGATTTTGACATTGCACAAGACACGTTTGTCTTCCTGCACACAGTACTCCAGTGATAACAACTTATTGATTTTCAGAGCATTTAGTTAACAGCTGCTGGCTGCCTCTTGGTGTTTACAACTTAGAAGAGTGTTAAATGAACTCTAAATGGTGTTGACCTCCCCATTTAAACTGATGGTTTTACCTTAAAATAAGAATATTTCCATTGACAAATAAATCAAAATTTCACCTAACAAAACATTTCTTTTGTAACCAAAAAAATCCCCCAGTGTGATCCCTTTAGCTTCCACTTTGGTTCATCGCAGTTTTAACAGAATAACAGTAGGGGAAATGTCACAGCCCATCATGCATTATGTATGTATTTATAACAGCACTATCTTTATGTAAAACAATAGGATAGAAATTAAAGCATGCTCAGTAGGAACGACAAGGTACTGACAGACGACCCTTACAGCGAAACATACAGTTTTCCGTCCCCTGAACTCCTTTTGCCAGCAGGTGGAAGTCATGCTCTGTATGTTTGCTCGTCTGTCGGTTTTCTTGGGAGTCATTTCAAGCATTTTCAAGTCTGACGAATAAATGTTCTTTTCCATTTGGTTGCAGCATCATTTGGAAATTCCCAAGCCAGTCTTCATGTATTCGTAAACCACATAGCTAATGCTGACAGCAGGAATGACTTTCATGAAGTTTGGCAGGATGCCCCGGTAGAGTCCAAAAAAGCCATCTTTGGCTACTATCTTCTTCATCAGACTGCTCATGGAGGGCTGGTCCGACGCGTCCAGAGATGCTGGGGAGAAAGAGGAAGTTAGCGTCTTACTCTCTTATTATATATGTACAGAAAATATTGAGTACTACTATTAACATCCAGCAGTATTTTATGTTTATTGTAAATTGCGTTTCATGAACGCTTTGTTATCGAATGTAAAAGTGCGTTTACCTCGTGCCTGCATCCTCGTGCGCACCAGTGCGAGTGGATAGCTGGCGAGCTGTCCACAGGTACTAGAGATGGTCCCGCAGCCCACCAACACCAGAACTCCAGGGTTTGCCGAGTCTTTGGCGTAGCGTGACAGCCATGTGTTCTTCAGGGTCTGACACACAGGAGAGAAAGGACAAAAAGAATGATTTTTCTTATTTAACGTATCACTGCAGTCCTACGTGAACTGATTTACTGTGCATGTTATTTCATTAGGTGCAATCCGTTGTGATGAATGAGGAAAAGGAACAGAGTACATACCTCATAAACAGCAAGGTCAATCCCGGCGTAGGGAATGATGCCCACCAAGTTTGGAACGTAGCCTTTGTAGAAAGCCTTCAGACCCTCTTTTCTCAGGATTGTCTTGGCACAATCAAACATTCCTGAGTACTGGCCAGTTTTCCTCAGGGTCAGTCTAGTTTTTAATACCTAATCGGCGAAAAACAGATTCAGTTAATTTGTGTGGTAGGTTGTTCTTTTGGGGAAAGCATTAAAGATAAATAGAATACTCAGATTGCCATACGATCAACTGTGAAGAAAAATACTTAGTATGTCCATGTACAAGGCAGGACGTCCTAAAGCAGCTGGTCAAATCTGGCTGTATGCGAGCCAGCGTGCTTCTCAGGTCATTCTGACCCACAGGCCTCCGCACAGACCGGTGACGGCTCAAGTGGCCGAAGCCACAGTTACAGGTCGCTGCACATTCCAGATGGGTCAACGCTCAAGGCGCAGCGGCGCGACAAAGGGCGGCTGCGGTGCGTTTGAAAAGAAGCAATGGGTGTACATACCTCCATCGGGTAGATGGCCGTCTGTGCTGTGGCCCCGGCCATGGAGCCGGCCAGGAACCTTTTGTGCGTCTCGATCTTCTTGCCCTCGGAGGATAACAACTTCTTGAACTACATAAAAACGCACACAAACAGAGAGAAAATGCATTATGCACATATTCCAAATAGGTGTCATTTTGGAATACCACTAAATGTATAACATGTGCATTACACAGCGTACTTGTTCATATGCCATGAATTTGATTGCGGTCTCGGGTGCAATCTTTAAAACGTTGATCCCGTTTCCCCTCCACAGTGAAGTTAGACCTCCTTCTCTGATCATCCGCTTGAAGCCCCCGACCAGGCTGATGGGGTTGGTCTTAGAAGAGTGAACCTGGAGCACAAACACACTAGGTTTAGCGGAGCAGTTTCACTCATAGCACACTTACACGTCGTAGCTTGTCAAAAGCATTTGTTGTTTCCCGCAGTGCACCTGCATGAAGACTTTCATCCTGTCCAGCGGGGCGGTACCAGTGCGAGAGACGGCCCCCGCCGCTGCACCCGCGGCGAGCTGCTTCCACCAGACCCCGGAGCTTTTCTCCTCCTCCGTGAATTCATCTGGGATGGCGAGGCTGTCGCCTATGTCCAGCACCTGGTGATTAAATACACATAAATTGAAGACACGTCCTTCAGTATTTTCGCTCCTGCTGGAGCCGTAAACACGTGAACTCAGCCGCGTGTCAGTCTATGAGCAAACACTACGAGATGTCTCACAGCTTATCTTTGTGTGTGCGCCATTGTATCTCTCTCAGGAAGTCCTGTGACGAAAGAAAGTCCACAAGAACTTCTCTTTTCTTTAAGTCTATTTTGACAGTGTTCAATCTCCCCAAACGACTCGCGCACAGGAGAGAGACGGCAGCATTTAAACAACCCTGAACATAACAAACATGGTCTGGTGGGAACTTAATGCATTGCAGCACGGACACGCAGGGGCTCATGCAGCAAGTAACGTGTCGTGCAGTCACTCCCATCTACGGTATGAGAATGCAGATTTGACTGGTTTTGTTTCTTCGGACACAATAAGTGTGCTGTGCACGGAGAAGACACAGACAACAACGGACACAAGAGGAGCACTGTGTTGCTTGCAACAGAGCAAACATCCTGAAAATGACATCTTTTTTTTTGCACTAAGAGGCTGAAGGGGGCCAAAATATGCTGCTGTGACCTAATTATGTTGGACGGTTTAATCTTCCAAAGCTTCTGGCAAAATGTAGACTGCAGGGAAAATCCATGTGCGTGTGTGTGTGTGTGTCCCCGTACCGAGGAGTGTTTCCAGTAGCGTATGATCTCTTCCAGGTTGTGAGCAGGGCAAAACAGGAAGTGTTCCCTCCACTCATTCCAGTCCACCATCATGGTCCCATCAATGTCCATACTAAGGAGACACACAAGCACCCGTTAAGCCGCGATCTACGCTCTCAATAAGCACAACGCTGCCCACACAAGGCTTTCTGATGGCCCAACTCTGAGGTTCTGAGTTAGAAACATGTCACAGCAGATAGAAGTGGAGGTCAAACCTCTGTAATATTTTCAGGGCATTCTGTCTGCTGATGTCCATGCCCAGTTCTGCAAGGGACTGCTGGATCTCCGAGGCATCAATGCGCCCTGACACAACAAGAAAAAACAACCTCTCCTCAAACACGCTGCAGTACAAACAGAGGACGTGCAGCCGGGTGAACGTCACCACTACTCGTGGCGGGTGTTTCGGTAGCGACACCGCCCCGCTCATCTCCTACCATCGTTGTTCCGGTCCAGACTCTTGAACGTCAGCCGCAGCTTCTTCTCGTGCTCCTTCAGATATTTGCTGAACTCGGTGAAGTCGAGACACCCGTCTTTGTTCTGGTCACCGGACGACACGATTTCCTGCAGAGAGGATGGACAAGTGTCATTTGTTTTCGGATAGCGTTTAAGGGCAAGGGACAAAACAAACACTCAGGCCAAGGAATCCTAAGCAAATCCTGCAGGCCAGAGCTCAGAAGCTCCCGTGGACCCCTCACGGCCCCTGCTTCTTTTTTTTTTTTTTACCTGTGCGGCACCGAGGCGAAAAATGCCCATTGCCTTGAGGCCCGCTCGTAACTCGGCGACGTCCACCTTCCCATCCTTATTGGTGTCCAGCCTCTCAAACAGGTCCTGGTACGATCGCTCACTCTCGGCGTCCCAGCACCGGGCGTTTGACAGTAAAAACGTCCGTAGCGTCTGCTTCATTTTTTTTTTTAGGGCTGAGAGAGGGAAGCAGCAGTCGCCCCGCAGTTAGGATCGGGTTATTAATTCATGTCCATATAGGAAATCACGTGGGGGAAAAAACTTGCAAAAACGCAGGTACGTGGTCGTCGTTCGCGATGGGAGGAAAAAAGGTTTGTTTAATACTGTGCAGAGGTGTCCTCCGTGACGTTGCAGGCAAACTGCAGTTAAAGGGGGCGGAGCAACAAATGCTACGTAGGAGCTCTCTCTCTCTCTCTCTCTCTCTCTCTCTCTCACTACGGAAGAGCAGGAAAGATGGTCTAATAAAAGTGGTGGAATAAATATCCCCTGGATTAACCGTATGCATAATCCGGTTTACGATTCTGCTGTTGTTTTACCCCCATCTGTTATTGTTGCCCTTGCTTCATGTGATACGTCCTGGTGTATTAGGGAGGAAACGTAATCTCCTCATTTGGCACGACGTGTCAGGGAAGGAACACAGCTGCAGCGCGGTGTCGTTGCGCGGCCACTAGAGGGCGGAGTTTCCTCTAATAGGTGGCGCACTGATGGAGAGAGGGAGAAGGGTCAGGGGCCCTGTTTGTGACGTCTCTGTGACCCTCACACATTTAGGACATCTAGGACTTAACAATTAATTTACTCTATATTTATGCGTAGGTACATTTAAATACTATTAAAACGTAGGCCTTCAAAACGTTATACTATTAAATATCATACCGGGACATTATTATTACTCAAGCATTTTATTTTTGTGCTTGATTGCTGTGGAGATCATTTAAAATGATTTGTAATGTATTGCAGTTAATTATTATTTATTTATTTTTTAATTAATACTTTCATATTTTCTCGCTTTAATTGGTTGACTTTGTGGTTTGTAAAAAATATGAAGATACAAACAAATACTGTCACAATTGAGTAGCCCAATTAGCATTCTTTTTCCCAACTAAAAGTCAAAGCCTCAAAATTATTTCAAAAATGTTTAAATCATTCAATCAATCAATCAACTTTATTCCAGACACAGAGGTCCATAGAGAATACATACACATAAAAAACAACAATACAAACATCATTTAAGAATGATGCAGACGAGGCATCATTTCTAAAAACTTATACAGGCTTCGGGTCCAATGTTTCCACAAGCAAGATGTATACCTTGTGTCACTCTAAGGACACAACAATCATATCCTTAGACCCTGTCAATCTGCACATGAATCTATACATAACATTTCTTAAAACAGCTTTAAAAGTGGGCACTTTATTGGACACAAACATTTCACTGGCACTATTCCACCTAGGGACTTTAAGCACAATTCTCAGTGCATCATTATAAGCCACGTGAAGTTTTTTCATCTTCGACTTACTAAAATTACACCACAGGTGGGCAGTATACAGTGGGGTGCAACAGGTTCTGAAAAGTGTGATTTTAACATCAGAAGTGCACATGTGAAATTTGCATGCCAGCATGTTCGCCTGCCCATACAATTTTCCACACTGACGCTGCACATCATCATCATCACACAGGTCATCTCTGATCACATGTCCTAGATATTTAACTTTCTTTACAACTTCTAGTGTAGACGTTCTTCTTCAACTTCTTCACCCGCCAATGAGAAAGAAGGATAGACACACTTCATTTCCTCCTTGGTTCTGACAATCACTACCACACTCTTCATAGAGTTACATTTTATATCAAACATTAGTCCATATTGAGAGCATATTCTAAGAAGTTGTAGGCCAGCACTGGAGAGAGACAGTACCACCAAATCATCAGCATAAAGCATATGATTAAGTAGACTATCCCCCACCAAGCAGCCAGTTCTACAGCCCTTTAGCTCCCTAGATAAATCATCCATGTACAGATTGAACAGGAGCGGAGACAGAATCCCGCCCTGCCGCACACCATTGGATACATAGAACGGGTTGACAAACTCATCCCCCACCTGACTTGCATAGTTTGGTGAGAGTACCAGAACTGCAGTATACTAATTCGGTAAAAGGGAACCCCACGCTCATGTAGTTTACCAAACAGTTTCCCATGATTGATACGATCAAAAGCCTTTGATGCATCCAGGAAACAAAACAGATAAATACTGTGCTATTGCGTGATCTGTACCTATGGACAATTTCTTTAAGTGCATAAATACACAGATCAGTTCCATGCTTGCTCCTAAAGCCAAACTGATTATCTGTTGATGCTATGTATTCTGCAATCCTATCCATAAGAATCCCTTACCTTGGATATACTAGCAAGATCAAATCATTAAAACATTTAAAAGGAAAAGAAGCAAATTTACATTTAGGAAGCTTTCCCCTGTCAAGCAACTCATTGATTTAAAAGCTAATCTATTCAGTTATATTTGCATGGACATTTAAATTAAAACAGTAGAAAATATATATTTTCCCTTAATATACGACGCTGATGTAGCAGTAAAAGAAAACGGTAAAAAAAACAAAAAAACATTGCACCTTCAATTTGCACATTTGCAAAGCTCACTGCTTGAGTAAATGCACATATTAGAGTATCAGCAACCCAATACAATGTGTATATAACATGGACTGTTTTTGTACTTTGGGCACATTACAATGATCATACTTTACTTGGTTCGGCCACTTTCACTTATGAGAGTGATTTTTTTTTCTCCAACCACCGTTTAGAAATAGATTGAATATGAAATATGATGAGCTGTGTAAATGTACACACCATTAGTATGTTCTTGCAGGACACCTTCACGCTCTTTGCTCTATTCGTTTTGGTTGTGGAAATCTCTACCACCTGTTCACACGTTCAAGTTAACTGTGATTTTGAAGCATACTTCACAGAGACTTATTCTCTCTCTCCCACTCCTCTCTCACGCGGTGGCGGTCACGCCGGCGAGTGACTCCACCTCGGGCGCGTTCCCTCCGAGTGAGTCCCCGACGTGAGGTGTGCGACCGTTTTCAATCGTCACCGATCGGTATTTCCCCCCCCCCCCCACGCGCAGCGAGTGTCCAATCAAACGCGGGACCTTTCGGTGACGTCACGGCTAGTCCTCTCGGAGGGTGGGAAGGAGGAGATTTGAACCTTGAATCGACCCTCCGCAGGCTGAGCGACCGGCGACGACAAGCGGCGAGCGCAGCGGGGAAAGTGGCCGGTTGCCTGTCGGCTTTACCACTTTTGTCCGCCTCCCCCGCTCCACCTCCCCCCTCGGCCTCTGGGGGAGATCATGTCGTTCATTCTTATGAAGAAGAAGAAGTTTAAATTCAAAGTGGACTTCGATTTGGAGGAGCTGTCGTCGGTTCCGTTCGTCAACGGGGTTTTATTCTGTAAAGTTCGACTCCGAGATGGAGGCTTTGCAGACGAGTCGTCTAGGTAAGATTTGTCCTATTAATAGTAGCGCTTTCCCGGTTGTTCCAGCGAGCTGAAGTCGAGTTGAAGTCAACCTGTTTTTAGTTGAAGTTCCTGCTCGACACCTGTTAATCATTTGTAGTCTCGGTTTTGCAACGACATTCCACGAGCGCTTTCCCGTGTGTTATAGTCAACGTTTTGCCACGAGCAATATTCACTTATTTCACGTTTAGCTACACGTTAGCTAACTACCGGGACACCGGAGTTACACGCAAACGAGTCGGTTACTTGGTAAAAGCAAGCGGGAGACTGTTTATTAACTCACCGTTACTAGGAAGTAGTCGAGGCCTCGGTAGGTCCTGTGTAGGAGACCGGGAGGCTGAACGGGTTAAACGACACTTCAAAAGAGCTTCTAGCTGGAATTAATGCTCCACTATTTGTCCAATAAGACTTTTAACAGAAGGGAATACTGATTATTTCATTAACCTATGAAACAACACGGTTGATTTAAATCAGTTGCTAAGCAACGCCTGCGAATTCACTATTGGCATCTTCTTCTTCTACTATTGTCATTCGAAGAGGGTCCAACGGAACAGATTGGCATCATAATAATAGTCTCACTCTTTCATTTGTCCATTTGATTTATTTACCACATTGAAGACCAAAACACACTTAACTTGTTTGTCCGTCGCAAAAGAAAGAAGCCTGGCAGCTTGAGGAGCGTGTGATTATATGTTCTTGTGTCGTCCGTGAGTCATTGTGGGGAAAAGCAGGCGTAGCAGCACATGTCAGCTAACCCCTCATTGCGTTGCCAAGGCAACCGTCTGTGTACAAACACTGTGTTCCCGGTCTCATCCTGCTCCAAACACAACTTGATTCTCTTGTTCAAATACAAAAAATCCAATCCATGACAATGTACCTTTTATTCATGGAATCTATGAGATTCTGATATTGTTTCTATTTCTTACACTATTGTCTCTTCATAAAAAAAAAATCTACACCTCTTATTAAGAGTGTGACCCATGTAGTCTAATTTACTGTTTCGGCCCAACTCTTCCTCAATGGGCTTTCTTATTTCTCAAGAGTCTCATGTTAACTGTAGCGAGGGTTGAATTGAAGTGTTGCACACATTTAGGTTCCAACCGAAACATTAACCATGCTTAAATCTGGACAATTAATATCTGCTCTGTACCTGTATGAATACGTGTTATTAAGTGTGCTTCCCTCACAGGAAAGCAGTCCATGCCAACTGCGTACACTGGAGTAAGAGGTTCTCCTTTGTGATTAAGATGAATGGCAATGCCGGGACAGGAGTCCTGGAACCGTGTTTTTGCCGGGTGTCTGTGCGCAAGGTACAGGACGTTTTTTTCGTTTTTTGCCATCAAGCTTGATTTTGTTCACAATACAAAAAACGTATAGAATACATTTTCCACAGCAGAGTGCAGATGGTTAACTTATAGTTTAATGTGCTACAAAAACTTCTGCATTTAAGGTCAGAGCACTGTTAAGTTTTAATCATTTCACAGACTATTTGTGCAGACAAGGAGTCAGGTTTTAATTAAGATGTGAGATTGGGATTAAACAGGTCACTTTAACATTACTGATTTCTGTGTTTTTGTCCTTTAAGGAATTGAAGGGTGGAAAGACTTTTGCAAAGGTAATACTTCTGTTTTTAAATATGAGACTGGCATTTGTTGGAAACATAGCAACCTAAGCGCTTGACACGTTTGAACAGTCTTATCATAAACGATATGCGATATCAGTCAGCCCCTTCCAGTGTCCTTAGATACCTTTTCAGTAAGGTGAGTCTGATTGCCAAGAATGTTTATTATTTATACTGTCCGGCTTTGGTTACTGATTGAAAATTCTGTAAATCACAACCCAAGTTATGTTCACTATGAACTGTATGAATGAGTTAAAGTATTAGGTTATCTGATTTCTCAAAGGTTGAAGATCGGACACCTTTGGAGTGTTTCCAAAAACCTTAGCTGTGCTGGATTTCTTCATATGTAGATAGTTTTATCACAGCACAATATTGCAAGGTTGTTCTCACATGTCGACCTCTAATATCCCTCTGCAGCTGGGCTTTGCTGACTTGAACTTGTCGGAGTTTGCCGGGTCTGGCAGCACTACACGACGGTGTCTCTTAGAAGGATACGACACCAAAAACACCAGGCAGGACAACTCCATTCTGAAGGTGTGGTAATGCTTGAACGCCGGGCTCCACAATCCCTTAAGTCAGAAATGCAATTAGGAGTCTGTATCACACTCAATTGTTTCCAACACACGTTTTTAGGAAAGATGATGCGCTTACAACCTGTTGTCGCAGCGCCGTGCCGCTCTAAAGCACGTAACCAGGTCTTGAGCTCTCCAGGAGAAAGAGACACTCTGGAAAATGTTGTATTTATGTCACGGATGGATACGTTGAAAATCCTGACAAAAACCGCCAGACATGTCTGAGCGTGTGATGTTTAAACTACCGGGATCATGGGAATGGATTTGAAAATATGCTGATTCTCCCTGGGGCTCAGATCTAACAGGGCCTAACATTAAACCACCAACCTTCAGCCTTCATTACTTCTCTTTTTTCTGTTACAGGTTGTCATCACCACACAACTAATGTCTGGAGACCCCTGTTTTAAAACGTAAGAGCTCATTATTGCCATATTCATCTGTTCAGTTGTATAACTCATTCTCTGCCATTCTAAATATCAATTCAATTTTAAACTAGCTTTAGCTACAGAAATATTTTCTTGCCTGTTTTTTTAATTTAGTCAACAACAAATTCTGTAGTTGTGGTTGAAAAGGAACCACCGTGCCAAGAAATCTGCACCTAACCACAGTGAAACGTGTTCTCAGACTCCCTTGGCTGATGTTACAAAGTAATCAGAGCTTGAAGTTATGACGCATTGTATTCTAGCTCAAATTGTATCAGTCTTATCTGAAAGCTAATAACACCCCACACTGACATTAATCCACTCAACCTCAGTAGTCAGCGAAAACTAAAGTGTGTATCAGTTTAGCCCGGACGTTGTGTTTTCTCTTTTGAAAATCTGATGGAACAACACACTCCTGCCAAAGGTTGCACCATTTGCAAACAGGTAACTTTTGAGAACAGCCTCAAGTCTTTCTCAGTACACTGTGGTGTGTCAACTCCCTTTTCTGCTTAAACATACACGCACGGCTGCCTAGGAGAAGTTTAAACTGTAAACTCAATGATCGCTTAGTCATTCATCCCACAGAGTGTTACTCATTGTGTGTGTGTGTGTGTGTGTGTGTGTGTGTGTGTTTGTGTGTGTTTGTGTGTGAGAAACAAGCAATAGGTCAGTTGTTCTTTTTTTTTTTTGTAACTTGTTCACTATTTGTCTGCCTCCCCACCCTCATTCCTTTGTTTACCGTAGCATCACAGATGAAGAGAAGTGATGTTTCCTCTGTTAACATCCCGTAGTTGATAAAGGGATTGCCGTTCTGTATTGATACACTTTCTACTTCTCCATTTATAACAGTTTAAAGCTCTCTAACAGAGATGTTAGATCCTAGATATTTCAAGAGTAAATCCCAGGATAGCAGCATATGTTGCTGTGTCTTCCCACTACAATTGTGGTGCATACCACAAAGTCTAATGGGGTTACAGTCCGATGTTTTGCGTGTGTGATAAGAGCAGGGGAGCAGGATCTCTCTTTTCCATCAACACTCTGATAGTAAAGAAACCAGCCGGCTCCTCAGTAACAGCACGCCTTCCTATATTCCCTTTAGTCCCCCATCTACAGCCATGACTCTAGGTGTCCTACAGGCCGAAGCAGAGTGTCTCCTTGAAGACAGAAAGGGAGGGGACATGCACGTATCCCATTCACTCTCCGGTACGTACATACAGACTCTGCGTTTGCTCACTTCACAATAGCAAGACCTGACTGAAATATCGCCAGCAATGCAGCTCTGGTTGTTCACACTAGTTTTGACGAGGTTCTACAGAGAACCCTTCTCCCAGAGGCGCCATGGTTATTCAGGAGTCAGTAACAGTAACATACTCAAAATCATCATAACCCCCCCCCCCCCCCCCCCCCCGAGGGTTTTCCCTTAAATTATATACATTAAAGCTGCGTTTACTTATTTAAAGAATGTTCCTTACAAAACCTGTGTTTTTCATATAGCAACTCCAGTAAAGTCTGTGTCAGTCCCAGAGGAGCTGTTGGCGTATGGTCACTCTAGAACACCCAGCCACGCCAGCGAACAGTCCAAGATCTCAGGTACCAAACACATAGACGCTCCTTTGTGTTCCCTTCAAACAAGCAGCGGTACTACCAAGCCAGCTACATAAACCTGAAGCATGAGCGTGATGTTTTTTTTGTCCCCCCCCTCTCTCTCGTTTCTGTAGGATACAGCTCGATTCACTCCAGTTCAACAGATCTATGCCATCGGAGGAGCGCGTCGGGTGGTTCTACCTCCACGGGCATCGGCAGCATCATGGAAACCAGCGATCAGCACGGGGAGAGCAGGACCACTCCGTCGACCTCTGCAACCTGTCACGCTGCACCTGAACACCACCCAACCCCAACTAAAGTGCCACGGTAATGTTTTACTTTCTTCGCACCTTTTACTCTTAACATATTTCCTCTGCGGGTTTGGACCTTTGTCTGTAATGATTCTACTCTATAAACAAACCTTGGGATGAGACTTTCTATTAATTTCCCACTAAATACAGTATGTGGTCTAATGTCCTTGTTCTTTCCCACTCGTATACTATTTTGCTGTGCTTCTGTTTCTACCTTAGACATCCAGTAAAGCAGAACTCAGTGGAGAATCAGCTCAAACGAGTTGATGCCACAAGGGTGGATGCTGACGACATAATAGAGAAAATCCTGCAGAGCCAGGACTTCAGCCATGGCGTCTTTGACTCCAGTGCAGAGGGTGTGTACACCTAATCCGTGACTTAGACATAGTAGACATAGTAGACATAAGGCGGACTCAGGAAGTTGCGTGCAATCCTTCTGATTGGATCAAATTACAATCATTAGATATCTACGATGGAAAATAATACATTAGAATTAAATATGGGCCGTACCTGCATATTTGCCCTTTTGAACATTTAAATGTATTTGATTAATGATTAGAGAAGAGAGATTGTATTACATGACTACCTCAAGGGCAGTTTGACCTCATTGGGAGCTGAGCACACATAGTTGCTGCCACGTTACAAACCTCTGTTCTTAAATCACTTAATAAAGAGTCATTTATTGTGTTTCAAAAAATGATGACTCACGCTACTTACAGAGTGATGTTAAACTCATTTTTTCTGTGCATATTTTGATGGTGTTCCTCAACAACCTATCTTGGTGTTCTTTATAAGATTTCATCAGCTTTGCAATGCCATTGACATCTCTATTCGTCTATTGTCATTTACTATTATAACTCCTAGAAACGTAAGCCATTTCCAAATCAACATTGTGCACTGATTGGCAGTATCCTTATTTCTGATGTGTGTGTTTCTGCAGAGGAGGGGCTCAGCTTGTTTGTTGGTCCTGGAGGGAGCACCGCTTTAGGAAGCCAGCATATGAGGTGGGTGTGATTATGGAAGTGGATTGTGGGTGCCACGCAGCCGGCATTTATTACAAATATGCTAAATGACTGAGTGAAAAGCTCTCTATTGTATCCATTAGATGTATTACATTCCCAGTCATGTAACACATTGTGGTATTCTCTCTCAGGGTCGCAGCTGGAGCCTTTGAGCAGGTGGTGATCAAGCCTTAGGCTTCGGAAAGCATCTGCCTGTCACAACGGTGCCATATTACACTAATGCGGGGTATACAAAACGGAGTTGGAAAAGTGTCATCAGAAGTTACTCCTGCCTCCATCCAGGGGATTTAATCTATTTTGTGCAATTCCTCTGCATCTGAGCTACAGTGTCTTTGGACTTGGAGAGCCCTCTAGTGTCGAAGCAGTGGAGGTGAAGGCCACATTTGGAACGTATTGGTGACTTAAGGATATTATAGTGAACTGACATTTCTCTAGAACTAAGGATTAACATTAAAATTCTTTATATATTGTTGACCCATCTCCGTTATTTAAAAACTATCCATAAGTTACCAACATGCTTTTATTTTGCTACTTTTGTTTCATCATTTTACTGATTCATAAGTGGCTAAAAGGGACAGAAGTTCCATCGATTTAAGTAACAGAAAACTTGACATTGAGAAATTGACAATGGTTAGTGCACCATTGTGTGTTGCCTGGTTCCTCTTCTGGTTATGAGGGATGTTTCAATGAAGTTGTCATGTTTTGTACCTTCGGTATGATGTCTGTTTTATGTCTGCATGTACGTATGTCTTTTGTCTGTGAAGTCATAATTAATAGATGGAATATATTTTTACCACAGAATTTTGTAAATCTGCGTATGACATGACTATGTATATGTATATAGCTTAAATAAAAAATACAATTTAAAATGTGCATTCTGGATAATGCAGTGTATGATCTTTTTGCAAAATATAATCCAGAAGTAAAATTGAATGAAAGGAAAATGTTTGAATGTATCTAATTATCAACTGCTCAGATTAAATTTAATGTTATAAAGACAACATCAATTGAAAGAGGAAATTAATTGTTTTGAGTTGTAAAGTAAAATTCCACATTTCCTGTTGAGTCAAAACAAATTTCAAAGTAAACGCGCACTGATTACATTTGAAAATCAAAATCTTTTATAATGAACCCTGAAATACTAATTAAGACACTGCCTCTAAATAAGCCTTGGATATATGTGTTTGCAAAATGGTTGAATGTAATATGTCAAACAATTTCGTGTATAAATAAATGCTTTTACTTTGCAAAATATCCCCTTGTTGACGTACCGACCGTTAGCTATCAGTTCCTTTCACACTGCACCACCAACGCTGCTGCTCCACCTCGAATAGCATCTAGCTACAACGACGGCGGGAAGTTGTATCATCTAAGTTACTTAACTCCAAATCAGCGACAATCAAACGGACGAAATCGTTACGGATCAACAGTTCGGGATATTATATTGATGGGTCTATAATCGGAAATACGCTAACTGTACAGTAAGCTTAGCGGCGTGGGATTCAGCTAACATGGCTAACGTCGGGAACCAGCTACCAACACAGGCCGTTAGCAAGCCTGCACCAAAACATGGCAATGTATTGCCCCTGTGGGGCAACGAAAAGACCATGAACCTCAATCCAATGATTCTAACAAATGTACTATCTTCGCCGTATTTCAAAGTCCAGCTTTATGAACTTAAGACCTACCACGAAGTTGTGGACGAAATCTACTTCAAGGTAACGTTAGCAATCGCTAAACCGCATGCTAGCTTAGATAACGACTGCCTAGTCGAGTTAGCTTTAAACTACAGTCGTCAAATAACAGTGGTAATTGGTATGGGCATTTATTTGACCTAACTTAACGTTGGATTCGTAAGGATGTCCACTTAATTAACAGAAGGTCACACAGATACATATAACGTTAGTGTTCTTATTGGTAAGCTAACACTACCCAACTTTAGCGACTAAGCTAACGTGAGGTTCTTTTAATTGGCTGTCGCTGTAAACCCAGAATGGTCCAATTTACTATTGTTCTACTCCAAATAAGTAAATGAATTAGTTTGCTTAACGCTACAGTTGTTTTCGTAATTATAACCTAACCTGGAGAATATTTGGCCGAGCTATGGCCGTTCGACATCCTGGTGAAAACACTTCTAAGTACATTGTAATTCGGAAGGGGACAGCCACAATAGTCTCCGAATGTCTTATGGAACCTTTGCAAGTCCTCGGAGAGACGGACGGCATCCATCAGGTGTGTGCTGTAGATCAAACCCGGCCTGTCACACGTAACAGCGCCCCGTGTTCCTACAGGTGACCCATGCAGAGCCCTGGGAAAAAGGCAGCAGAAAGACGGCGGGGCAGACTGGAATGTGCGGAGGGGTAAGTGAGAAGTACGTGCTTTTTATATTCCCCATGTCCCCCCTCCCCCTCCCTGTCAGGGATGATATGAATATGAGACATTTACTCGATTTATTTGTATTTTAGATCACTCAAGTAATAACATGCAATGATTAGTCAGAAGCTCAGTCGTTCTGAACAGGTCTGCTGTGAATAACATGTACACTGATATGTGTTCACCTTTAGGTGCGTGGAGTCGGGACCGGTGGTATTGTGTCCACTGCTTTCTGTCTTCTATACAAACTGTTTACTCTCAAGTTGACTCGCAAACAGCTGATGGGTCTGATCACTCATACAGACTCTCCATACATCAGAGCACTTGGATTCATGTACATACGGTATGAAGCCCCAATTTCAGATATTTTGCACTTTTAGCTATAGAGAGCTCTACTACCCACCTGTTTCAGAAGAGAAGCGTGTTGTTCTTGCAGCAATATTTGTTAAAAGGCAAGTCCTCATCAGCTAAGTGTGTAATTTTGTCACACCCGTCTGAAAACTAGTGTGTGAGACGTATTTGGGAAAGGTCCGTAATGAAATTGAAATGAAACTTTGCAACATGGTTATCGGATGCAATGCTCACGTTGTGCTCTCTGTTTTGTTCTGCCTCAGATACACTCAGCCCCCAGCAGATTTAATAGATTGGTACGACGGTTTCCTGGATGATGAGGAGGTATGTCCCCTCGGGTAATAATTTGATGTTTCTTTCTCTGCATTAATACACAGTTACACAAGTTAAACTGTCCGTTTCCCTCCCTTGTGATGCTCATTGCTGATTTTTCACCTTTGCCTCATTTGGCTTAATTGTCCCCCACTTGTGTCCCTTAAACCTAAGTAGCTGGGTTACTTGTTCACTTCTCTGCTGCTGATTTTTATCAGGGTAAGTACCACATATAACCATGACTAAGTCTATTCGTCAGTGATAATATTAAGGCATGCCCTTTGTTTTTGACAAGCTTTCATCAGGACTTGTTGCACAAAACTAAATTTGGGATTAATTGCAATTGGAGCATTGCTATGGATACAGACAGAAACCAAACAAACAATATAACACACCTCAACTCTTGCATTAATCCATTGTCTTCACCATATTTAATACTATACAATTTGATACCAGGCTGTGCAGCCAGGCCTCCTCTGATGTTCTGTTACATTATATTTGAATTGATCATATGAAATCCTGCCCAACTGGTTAATTCCCCTGTTTTTTTCTTTAGATGCCCATTGTGCAGCAGGTGAATTGGATATTGTATCTCAGCACTGTTGGGTTGCGTGTGTGAGTGCAAAGCGGTTGTTCTCTACCATATAAAGTCGATAACTGGTGTGCCTTTTGCCTACCTGCTCCACCCTGAGCTTATACTGTGGACACTTTTATTACCCAACGGCCCCTTAAGAGTTCATTGTGCCTCTGGGGGACTGAAGGAAGCCACGACTTCCTTTGTCCTTTCCGCTCAATGAGGATGTTTTCAGATGCTGCTCTGTTTCCTTCGTCCCTAGTTGGTAAACAGTAGCTGCAAGCCCCTTTTTGTTAAACACATTTTAAGCAGATGATGTGAAAGAAAGGAGGGTGGAGCTTCGAAAACACTTGCTTGTTTAGCAAAGCTCACATGTAAACACACACTATACAAACTTCCAGACAGGTCAGATGAGGCAAGCTTTTCCATATTTTTAATTGTTAAAATAAAGCCAGGCAAATTTAATTAAAGTGAGATTAAGCTAGATGAACAGAGGTGAAGTTTCGGTACTTGGTCATCACAAATTGCTCTTTTGATTTGATGCAAGATTGAGAAATTCACCTGCCTTGTTTGTTCTAATGGATCCTTCTTCTCTCTCTCTCTGGCTTTTTGCCCTCCGTTTGATTTTAAGGAGCTTGACGTCAAGGCGGGAGGCGGCTGTGTCATGACCGTTGGGGAGATGCTGCGCTCCTTCTTGACCAAACTGGAGTGGTTCTCCACTCTGTTCCCCCGCATCCCAGTGCCTGTGCAGAAGCTGATTGACCAGCAGATGAAGGCCAGGCCTCGTAAAGTTGTCCAGAAGGAGGCGCAGGAGGAGGAAGTCGCTGAGGCTGAAGTAGAGGCGGGGAGGCCCGGGGAGCGACGCCGCTCCAGGTAACGCCGTAAATCCCACCTGCAAACCTTTGCCGTTTTGAAATGAAAATAGGTCATCCGATTCTGCAGATTGTAGCAGCCCGCCGTCTGTTAGGACAGAGCGCCGAGCTGCTTGAAGCTCATGTTACCTTTTTTCACCAGGACACCCAGGCGGACGCCGAGCCCCCGACGGTCCCCCAAGCGGTCAAGGAGCCGGAGCCACCAGCGGGAGAAAGAACGCCACGGCCCAAGCTTCGACCGAGAGCTGGACAGGGAGCGTGACCGCCAGAAAAAGGAGAGGGGGGACAGGGACCGCGATAGAGGGGACCGAGGGGAGAGGGTGGAGAGGGGGGACAGGGAGAGGCGACGGTCGCGCAGCGCAGACAAGAACCAGGAGCGCAGGGAGCGTCGAAGAAGTCTCAGTGGCAGTCGGGACCGAAGAAATGAACGCAGGGACAAGGAGAGAGACGCAGTGGAGGACAAGAGCAGCAGCAGGAGGAAGGACAGGGAACACCACAAAGATAGAGGTGCAGAGAGGGAGAGGTCCAAGGACAAAAAGAGCAGGGGGGACAGCGACGACAAGAGGCACAAAGACGACAGGGAGAGGCACAGAGAAGAGAGGAAGGCCAAAAGGTCGAGTCGGAGTCGAAGCAAGGAGAGGAAGCACAAAGGTGGGGGAGAAGAGAAGAGCAGGAAAAAAGAGCTCAGCCACAGCAAAGATAAGGACAAGGAGAGAGACGGAGAGCAGCGTTCTCACAAACGTAGTCGTAGCAAAGAGCGGAGCCACCATCAGCGAGAGTCCAGCAATGATCACGGTAAACACAGGAGTCAGAGCACTGAGTAGATGTCGGCCCCAGCAATATTACTTCTCCTACTCGGGTGTTTTGTTTTTTTCTTTTTCTACCCACTTGTCTGTCACTTGTGCTTCAGAGAAGGAATGTCAGAACATTGGACTTCTGCAGTTGTCGTCTTTGGCCAATGTGATGTCGCTTTACCTTTTTTTATGTTTTGTTTTTTTGCTATTTTCAATCCCATTCAGAGCAGTTGTTCTTCGCAGGTTGAAAAGTGGCAAATACTGTATTTTAATTTTCTATGAAGTGCCCGTTGGCCCCGTGGAGAAGTGGGTTTGTACATATTGTTTTGGAGGCTGTCTACACACGCTCGAAGGTCTGAGTTTCCTTTCTAGCTGGGCCGCTGTCATAGCGTCATATCATTTAGATAATGTGTAAAGAGGTATTTTTCGGAAGGTACAAAAGCCAGAACATATTTTTAAATTTGACTATTACAGTGCATATATTTGGAAATCCTGCATATTTAAACATCTTGTTGAGTTGTATTCTGATTGAATGTATAAATTGGAGCGTAGCAGCAATGTGGAACAACAATGGCTCAGCAAGAAGCAAGTCTGTCCTCTGGGTGTGTAGACAGCACGAGAATGTTTTAATCCTCGAATGAGCAGTCTGCAAAGGGTAATTTTTTTACAACATACACACACTGAACCTGCCTGTTCTGTGTTTGGGTTATTGCTCTGTTGCATTTTGTTTTCTAATAAAAAAACTTTTACAAACAACACATGTTCCTGTATTTGGAAGAAGAAAATGCTGTGGCAAATGTCATACAAGCACATGTTACTGAAGAAAGTTCAAAATAGAATCATTGAATTGAGACACAAAAGCTGAATGCAAATAAAATGTTTATATTTTTATTAGAATGCAGTCTGAAAATATACATGTTAAATATTCTTTTAGAAAAAGTACCAAGCAAATACCCAGGACACGTCAAACAATGTATTAACTTTAAGTCATTAAACAAGTGATTGCAATTTCAAAAAAGGAAGAGGAACTAGTCCCAAGATTTATAACCTCAACCAATAGTGGATCAAGTTTTATTGTATTTTCATACAGATGGATTAGTCATTGGTTGTCATTCAGAAGACCTATTTCCGTGAGTTAAGTCCTCCAAACCAGTTGTGCAGTTAACAGAAATGTTAGATCACGCTAAAATCAGACCTTAAGTCCTCGTATGTTCTATGACCCACACGAGTGGCTCCCCCTCGCTTTGCCTACACAAGCGCTCTCTTATTAGCGGCGCACCGGCCCCGTCTGCACACACGCCGGCTCTGACTCCGGCCCGCCGGCGGCCGACACGGAGAAGCAGTAAGCCGAGTGGGGGCCCAGATCGGTGAGGATGATGCTCTCCCCCAGCACTGTTATCGCCTGAGGCTCGCTGGAGCTGCTCTGCTCCCTGATCACCAGCCTGTAGTGGGAGGCTCCATCGATCGGAGACCACTCAATAAAAATAACTGTTGCCGTTGCTTGTGTGACCTTCAGCACGGGGGCCCAGAGGCCTCCTGTTGGGGGAAGAGAACCAGTCAGAGTTGTGAATTGGGTCCAGGCTGGTCTTCAGACTTTATTCTATCTAAAAAATGTGGAATAATATTGATATTGCAATAATGCTAATAAAGGTGACATTAGGTTTAATGTTGTAAATCCGTCTTTGTACATCTTCCCTCACAAATACAAACTCACCGTGCTCTGGCTTTTGTCCACTGAGATCTCTCCTTTTGCGTCCTTGGGTTGACACTGCGGAGAAAGGGCTTAGATCCATTAAGTTCATCATTTCACGTACAGCGTCCGCTCCACGCTTACATTCACACACACAGACACACAGACACACAGACACACACACACACACACACACACACACACACACACACACACACACACACACACACACACACAGAAGTTCCTACCATCTGTCTTTACAGTGGTCGTTTCACTTTCTCCGGCTGTGTTTGTGGCTGTGATCACCAGGTTGCTGGAGGTGATGTTGGACAGAGAGCACGCGAGCCCCTCGGTGCTGCACAGCTGGGCCTTTGGCGCAGCGCTGTTGTCGTACACTGTGTATGTGGCGGCGAGCGCGGAGGCGTTCCACGCGACTCTGGCAAAGGAGCTGTTACCACTGTACACAACCCCCGACGGTGGACAGGGAGCTGGAGGAGGAGACATTGGAGACGGTTGAAACATCTGTAAACTTGGTTTTGAGTTGTTACTAAATTACTAAAATTACGTAAACGCTACAATAAAGACTCCACTGTTCACCTGTTGTGCGATTGAGAGGCCCGGATGGGACGCTGGTGCCGGCAGCGTTCCTGCTCTCCACTGCAGCAGAGAAGGACGAACCACAGGGGAGAGGAATCTCAAAGTACGTGCCGCTCGTCCAATAGGAAGAGAGCTCGAACTGGGCCTCGCCGTCTCCCGGCAGACTTCCCGTTAACTCCAGCTTGTACTCGACGTCCCCGCAGGCGATCTGCGTCCAGCTGAAGTGCATCACTTGGATCTCCCTCTCCATCGGAAGTGGCTGCACGTCAACAGCGCCAGGCGGACAGGGAACTAGAGAGAGAGAGAGAGGGAGGGGGGGGGGGTGAATCTGGAACGCATGTATGTCACACAGTAAGCGGGCCTTACGCGCAGCCCTCGTACCTGCTCCACTCTGCACCGGCTCACTGAAGGAGCTGCTGCAGGTCCCGTCCGAGGCCTGGACAGAGAAATTGTAAACCACTCCACATTCAAGGGCCTGGATGGTGCAGGTGGGCTCCGTGCCGTGACAGTACAACATGTCTCCATTTGCAGCCCGGGCACAGGCGTTGTAGCGCGCGGCGTTATCTCGGGGAGTCCACGACAGCACCGCCGACTGATTGTCACACTGGAAAGTAACGGAGAGACCGTCGGGCTGGCAGGGACCTGGACGAAAAATAGAAAGATCAAACTGCTGGAACTAACATTGCTGTAGTATCATGCGCGTGTATGTCCACCCGCTGGTACGCTCTGTGCGTCTCTAGTACACAAACACAAGTACCTGTGTTGAGTGTGGCCTTTTGACTGGCCTCGCTGGAGCAGTTCTCGTGGCCGGCAGTCACGAATACCGTGTACTGCTGGTCGCAGTGGAGCTCTGGTAGGGTGCAGTTAGTGGAGGTGGTGTTGTAGGCATGGACGTGTCCGTCTCCACCCACGGCGACGACGTGGTAGGTCTCGGCTACAGGGGAGGCGCCCCAGGACACCTGGGCACTGTTGTCCTCACAGGTGGCGTTAACCACCAAGTTGCCGGGCGGACACGGCTCTGGAGAGGTTGGAAACGAGGTCGGGATTTAGCAGCATTTCAGTCAGAATTTGACAAAAAAGTATCATTATTTGGTCAATTCGGAAAACCTGTTATGAATTATACCTTAAGATCCCTTTGTGATTCTGCTTACTCAGTCATGAAAAGTTCATATTGTAGATGAACGGTTAATATTTTAAGTCACGTGCACAACGTTATAAAATCACACACAGTTGTTTTCACACATCAATGTGTTAATTACTGAGCTGAGGAGGCGCTGCTTGGCTGAATCGTCCCACCTTTTGCCAGAGTCGGGCCAACTCTTTCCATCTGTCTACAGTCATACTAAGCCAGGAAACAAAACAGCCCCCACGTACCCATGCTGATCGTGTACGGTGGGCTCCTGAGGCCGCTGCACTGGTCTGATGAAGCGGCAACAATGACGGTGTAACGGAGGTCGCAGCGGGCTCCCTCGAGGTAGCAGCTGGTGCCGGTGTTGTTGCAGGACAGCAGGCTACGGTCACTGGCTTCGGCTGTCACGGTGTACACGGTCTCTCCGCCGCCGCCGTCCATCAGGCTCCACAGGACGAGGATGGAAGAGTTGTGGCACAGAGGCACCGCTGTGATGCCGGAGAGGGTGCAGCGGGCTGGAGGAAGAGACGCGTTCGGTTAATGGACGCTGCAGCTGCCATCACTCTCTGTGTTACTCTGGATTGGGCATTATTTTAAATGTACATTGTCCATTTTATTCACACAGTGAGAAATCTGTTACCTGTCTGCAAGTGGATGGCGGCACTTGGCCAACTCTCACATCTGCTGCTCTTAGCGGTAACGCTGAAGTTATAAAGCTTGCCACACTCCAGGTCCTTCACCTCACATGTGGTGTTGGAGGAAGTGGTGCAGTTGGCTCGATAGTCCCATCCACCCGCAGCCGACACTGTGTAACTGTCCGCCCCTGGAGCCGCGTCCCACCATATCCACGCAGAATTGGTCACACAGTTGAGGTTGCCTCCGATTCCCTGAGGCTGGCAGGGAGCTGGGGAGAGAACACGGCAGTTTGAATTGGCATCCTCGACGGATTTAAACAAGGACGGATGCGTTCTAAAGCTGTTTGTCCCGTACCCGCCGTGATGCTGTGGCCCTGGCTGGGCTGGCTGCGGCAGGCGCCTCTGACCGAGGTGACTTCGACCGTGTACGTGTTTCCACAGGTCACGTTGCTGATGGAGCACGCGGCGTTTGTGGTGTTGCACGATCCGCTGCTTCCTCCGTTGTCTGCAACCGCTGACACCGTAAAGTTGTCTCCTCCCTCGACGGCGTCCCAAGAGACCGTCATGCTGTTCGACAAACAGCTGACCTCTGCACTCACATTCTGAGGCGGGCAGGGAGCTGGTAATAAGAAGACATTTAAAGGTAAAAAAACCTTGGCGTACGCAGCACAACGTTTTTAAACTATGGTGGTGTATAAGAGCGCACGTGTTACCCGAGTCGAGTGACAAAGGCTGGCTGGGGACACTGGAGCAGTTGTCATTCATTGCCACCACCTGAACGGTGTAGCGGCGGCCACACGTGAGGTTCTCAAGGCTACAGCTGAGGTCTGAGGTCTGGCAGCTGACGTTGCTTCGACCGCCGCGGGCCATCACGGAGTACTGCACGGCACCCCGACCGGCAGCCCAGGACACCAGAGCGGTGCTGTTAGCACAGTGCATGATGGCCGAGACATTGGTGGCAGCACAGGGCACTGCGAGGAGAGGGCGGACGAGAGCTCCATCAAGGTTCAACAATTATTCATGTGTGTGTAAAAGAGTGATGGGAACTAGATCATCAGTAACAGTGGAAAGGGAATGGTTCCACAGAAAATAAACAATAATAAACTAATTATCAATAAATAAAAAAAAGATGGATTATAGCTCATGAAAGATGCATATAGCTGCAGTATCTGGTTTAATATACACCAACATGCTGTATTTTTGGTATCAGAGTTATTATCTTAAATCAAACGTTTCAGTGAAAGTAATAATCCAAACAACGTGAGGTCACATGCCAAGAAAAAAACAAGAATGTAAAAACTCAATTTGCCACCTAAAAGTACAACATGTGTCTAAATGAAGTCAAATCTAATTGGTTGCCAACAGAAAAACTGAAAGATTCTTCCCAAGTTGCAAGTCTGTTTGGTTGTCATGAATTATGTAGGATTGCATAGCAGGACACAAGTAAACACTTGAGCCCCACCTGACTGCAGACTGGTGCTTTGTGTGGAGGTGACGTTGCACTGCTTGTTGGAGGCCGTGACCGACACGGAGAAGTTGTACCCGCAGGTCAGGCCAGGGACGCAGCATTCATTAGACTCAGACATGCACATTTCTGAGACGCCCGTTTCAGTCTGGATGGTGGCTGTGTAGTAGTCTGACCCATCACTGGTCTGCCAGGTTACCATGACGATGCCAGCGAGACAGTCCTGCATGGTCGAGATTCCTGCAAGTGGACAAGGCCCTGGGAAAAGAAGACACAAAAGTTAATTATTACCTGTTTGAGCACACACTTGCTTTTAAACGTTTCATCTGTTTGCCCTCAAAAGTGAGCTCGACTGATTTATGATCGGTACGTACGCGTCTCTATGGAAGCAGGTGCACTGGGGTTTCCAGAACAGTGCATGTTGTGAGGTGTTACTGTGAAACTGTAGTTTTGTCCGCAGCTGAAGTCAGAAAAGTCCGCTGTGGTGGCGGAAGTCCTGTGCTCGACTTTTTTATTTCCCGCCTCTCCTGATACCACATAATGATTGTTCTCAGCGCCGTCCCAGCTCAGTGAAACAACGTTCATTCCACAATTCACAGTGGCGGTCAAATTCTGAGGCACGCACGGCTCTGAAAAATACAAGGAGGGTCGATGTTAAAACCGAGCTGAGTTTAATTGTTCTGTAAATATATGTGTTGATCACAACTTTATTTTACAGATTTGTTATATCATAATCATTTCCTAGAATGTGTGTTGAACAGAGATATTCCACATGTTACTAATTAAAGGGACAACACTTGATTTAAATTCAAGCAAGTAATCATCCATTATTCCATTCCTATGGGAGGCTTTGAGCTGCGTATGTGTTTAATTATATCACATTTTTGCATAAACTGTCCAGCTGTTCACAGACTAAAAGCCTAAACTGCACTCGCAATCAATCGGAATGAATGCACTGGAAATGATCTAACTGACCCCTGTCTGTTTATCCCCAACAACCGGTCCACAACGTACCCATATGGACGACAGAGGTGTTGCTAGGCAGACTGGTGCAGTTGCCTTCCTTTGCTCTCACCACAACACTGTACACTTCTCCACAGTGAAGGTCGTTCCAGGTGCACGAGGTGATGTTGGCGTCGCACTGGTGCGTGTGGCCCTCAAGCCCCGTCGCTATGGCAACATATGTTTCAGCACCATCAGTGGGCCCCCAGCTGACAGAGCCAGCGTTAATTTCACACTCTTCATCGGTTGCCACATTGCGAGGGACACATGGAGCTGGAGGCAAAGGGAGGCGGTGAATTAAAATATGCACATACGATTGTGACAGGAGCACCTTGTGTCCCACGGTGTAAGATAGAAGATCATACTAGTTTTGAAGAAGACGGGGCTGCTGGGGATGCTGGCGCACCCGCTGCCTTGTCCTTGCACCGTGACGTTGTAGTTCTGCCCACATGGCAAAACAGCGGTCAGAAGGGTCCGGGTCGTATTGTAGACCTCCACATATCCGAGGCTCCCGCTGGCCGTTACAGAGTAATTCACAACACCACTCGTTTGGTGCCAGGAGATCTGGACCTGCTCACTCTGACAGGGCGCCTCAGCAGATACAATGACCGGCTGGCAGGGCTCTGAGTGGAAAGAAAGACAACTAAGATGATTTTCAGCCTTGTTGAAACACTAAAGCCGGACGCACAAACAAAGTTCATCCATAAATGTGCCATTTTTTAATACAAATGTATGAAATGAAAGTATAATGTATGTTATATTAGTGTTTTACTAGTTTCTTAATGTGTAACACACATCAGCAGTTATGCATTGGTCCAATAAGTATAATATGATAATAAAAGCACCTGTTTGGATGAGGACGGCGGTGCTGGCCTGGCTGCAGCAGCCTGCACGCTGTGCTCTCACGGTGAAGTTGTACATCTCTCCACATTCCAGACCGGCGAACTGACAGGTAGCGCCTGTCGCGTTGCACGTCAGCACCCCCCCTCCGGACGTCTTGACGGCGCTCGCTTCATACAGTTCAACATCAGACCTCGGCTGCCAGGACAGGACTGCGGTGCGGGAACCACACTGCAGGTCAACAGCTACACGCTGAGGAGGACAAGGACCTGAAAAGAGGGCGTTTTTAGGAACGATGGTTACATCTTGGACAAATACAATCTCCAACTTCCAGAGACGCTCGCGAGGATTTGCCGGCAACACTCACGCGTGGTGAGGTTGGCGCGCTCCGGCGCCGTGAGGCTGCACTGCTCGTTCACGGCGCTGAAGCTGAGGCTGTAGGTTTCCCCACAAGTCAAGCTCGTCACATGACAGCGGTCCTGCTGAGTCGCACACAGGGTCTGAAGACGCCCACCGACAACGGCCGTCAGCGAAAAGTTTGCCGCGCCATGAGTGGCGTTCCAGGACACGACGGCGGCGCCGTCCGAGTTGCAGTCGGCCTCCACCTCCACCTCGCTGGGCAGACACGGGGCTGAGGAGACAACGGGGGGGGCGGGGGATTATGAATGGACGCCACGATCAAACAATGTGGACAGAGATTGCCCACAAACTAATTTTGCCTTTACCCGACGTAAGAGAGATCCCTGCGCTGTCAGAGCTGTTGTACTGCCGACCCAGCGCCTTGACCCGGACGCTGTACACCGCGCCGCACATCAGCCCGGACGCAACGCAGTAGGCGCGTGCGCCCGAGCCAACGCAGGAAGCGTAGCGGCCATTTTGGTCGCCGAAGTAGGCGACGTAACCCACGGCGAGTTCGCTGCGCTGCCAGGAAACATTGGCGGCCAGTTGCTCGCACGCCATGCTGGCCTCCACGTTGGTGGGCGGGCAGGGTTCTGAACGACGAGCAAACACACACATTCAAGAAAAACTACACCCGCCTAGTAGTGCTACGACTCGCGCACACCTCCCAGTCAGATTACGAACCTGTCGTGAGAGGAGAGGGTTCAGAGGTCACGGCGCTGTTGCAGCCCAGGTTTCGTGCCGTCGCGGTGACGTTGTAGGTGCGACTGCACTGGAGGCCGTTCAGGGAGCAGCTGGTGCCGGTGGAGTTACAGGTGACCGTCGAGCCCTGGCCTGTGACAGCCTGGACCCAGTACGAGCCGGCACCCCTGGCCGCCCCCCACGTCACCTGGGCAGTGCTCGCATTGTAGTGGACGGAGAGGTTCGCGGGGGCACATGGCACTGGAGGGAGAAACGTTTTACATTGATGGCAGCCGCATTCAATGAGAAATGTAACGCGAACAAGGCCGTGCTGTTTGGTTACACAGGGGAGCAAACCGTACCCGCGGTGAGGTGTCCCGCCATCTGAGCAGTGCCGTTGCAAGAATCTCCCAGGGCCTTCACGGTGACGTCGTATTCCTCCCCGCACTGCAGCGAGCTGAAGTGACATTCGGTCTGGTTTGTGGCACAGCTGGTGGCGCCGCCTGATAACGCCGAAAGCTCCGAAACGTAGGACGCGGCTCCAGCGCTTGGCTGCCAGGAAACGGTGGCAGACTGGGCCTCGCAGTCCACAACAGCTTGGATGGAGCTCGTCGGACAAGGTACTGCAGGTATTTGGAAGAATATGAAATTGTATTTTATGCATTGGAGCAGCTACACATTTCTTCTTAGCCTTCATGAAAGACAACGTGGATCTGTCAGTCAGCTGCCAGTCAGCTGCCAACCCTTTAACCCACAGTTAAATATCTCAACAACTACTGGAGCGAATCAATGGCTCGATAACATTCTTCACAGACGCTGGTCAGGTAAGATCGACATTCGGGGGTTTTCAGTGAACTGTCTACTTAGATTCAATTTAATGTGCTTGATCATCACGATTATTCTTGATAAATGTGTTGATGTTTATGTAATACGTGTAATCGATCGTACATATTGAGTTCATCTTCACCTGATGTAAGCGTGGTAACTGTGCTATCAGAGCTGGTGTTCTGCCAGCCTAAGACCTTGACCCAGACGTTGTACACGGTGCCGCACATCAGTCCTGAGACAACACATTGGGCGTCTGCGTCTGACCCAACGCAAGAAGCGTTGTGGTCCTCCTGGTTGTCAAAGTAGGCGACATAACCTACGGCGAGGTCGCTCTGCTGCCAGGAAACCGTCGCACTTAGTTGCTCACACGACATGCTGGCTTGAACGTTGGTGGACGGGCAGGGTTCTGAACGAAGAGCACACACACACACACACACACATTGAAGGATTAGGGAACGACGCACAATGTACCACATCTTGTCCCGATCAGAAGACGCACCAGTCACGAGGCGCCGCGTCTCGGCGATCGTACTGTCGCAGTCCAGGTTTCGTGCCGTCAAGGAGACGTTGTAGATCCGACTGCACTGCAGGCCGTTCAGGGAGCAGCTGGTGTTGGTGGAGTTACAGGTGACCATCAAGCCCTGGCCTGTCACAGCCTGGACCCAGTACGAGCCGGCACCTCTCGCTGCCCCCCACGTCACCTGAGCAGTGCTCATGTTATAGAGGATAGAGAGATTTGTGGGGGCACAGGGCTCTGGAGGGAGACAAACATGGAACCGCATTGTATTTCCTTTTCTTTGTTGTTCTTTTGTTTGTAATATATAATAATATACTGCTTGGCCCTGGATGTTTCCAAGGTCTGAAGTGCTCGCACCTGTAGTGAGCCTGGCAGGGACACTGGACGGGCCAGGACAGCCCTCGTGCATGGCCCCCACAACAACAGAGTAGTCCTGTCCACACACCAGGTCGTTGAGGATACAGGATGTGCCCATCTCACTGCAGGAGGAGTTGTGTCCATTCATGGAGGTCGCCTGCACGGTGTAGAATGTGGCTGCATCTGAGCTCCTCCAGCTGACCAGAGCGTTGAGTGTAGTGCAGTTCAGTACAGCTGACACGTTGGTGGGAGGACAAGGGGCTAGAAAAGGAGAGAGGCACAGTGGAGATAAACGAAGGAAACTAATACAAACACACACTAAAATTAAAGAAACAGTTAATTTATGTTCAGAAATACAATTAGTTTTGTTCAATTCCTGAGACTTAAATGAGTGGATTGACACCACAATATCGATGCGCCACAATCAGCATGCGTGTGTAAAAAGTCTCTGTTACTATAAAGTCTATTTAAACACATCTGAAGCAATGAAAGATGTAAAAACTGTTACGCTATAATGTAGTGATATTTTGGAATGATGCATTTTCAAGCTAAAATCTACATCATTAACCAACGTCTGAGCATTAACTATTCAAAAACGTGTACTAAAGGGAAACAGAAAAGTTGCAGGTTTTAGTGCAGTTGAGGTTTTAGTAAAGGTATGTGGAGGAAGAATCTTCACATTGGCTAATTTAGTGTCATTTGAAATTTGAGGTGATCATAATTGGCTTTGTTCTCATCAATCCATCAATCATATTCCTTTACATGGCCTCATTTAGAGTAACATAACATATCATACAGGGAGTTCAGTACCACGATTCATCCACCAGATGGAGAGATGCATGCACGCTTTTACATGCATGACTGGCTCGTCTGTTCATGTTGCTCAAAAAATCTTTATCCAGAAACATTTGAGTAGCCACTTGCAGCGTTGATCACTCAACCACAAAGGTAAGCCATAATTAAAAGATATGGCTGTATAAGGCACATGTATTCTTTCATATTCAATGCATCACAGTACTACTTTTTAAACCCTAACCCTCACCAAAAAAGAAAATAGACAAATTGCTGTCAAATTCAACTTAGTGAGCTTACCGGTAAGCTTCTCCGTGGGAGAGCTCATCTCGCTTCTGCACACGTTGGTATGTCCCACCACAGTGAAGGTGTAGAGCTGACCACAGCTCAGGTCCAGGAAGGAGCAGCTGCTCTCGGCGGATTCACAGGTGGAGTTGACACCCGCAGCGCGCGTGGCTTTCACGGTGTAGTTCTGTGTGGTGCTGCTCTGGTCCCACTCTACTGTCACCACGTCGCTGCTACAGTTCTGCTCGACATTGGTGTTCTCGGGTTTACAAGGAGCTACAGGCGGTCGAGAGAAGAGGCGCATTAGTCAACATCTAGAGGATTTCATATTCGTGCTACGGACATTAAAGCACTGCACTGACCAGAGTGAACCTCGTAGTCTGAGCCAGCAATGGTTTCGCACTCAATGGAGGACGAGGTGACCACCACCTCGTAGACCTTGCCGCACTGCAGATCGTGAATGGAGCAGGAGTTGGACGATGAGTTGCAGGATGCTCTGTGGCCCTCGGTGCTGATGGCCCAGGCGGTGTACTCGTCGGGGCCAGAGGCCTGTGTCCAACTCACATTCATCACATTGCTGTCACACTGTAGCTCAGCAAAGACGTCTTCTGGCAGACACGGAGCTACGGCAGAGAGTTTCAGTGCAGGTATGAGCATAATTTACACTAGATATGTACATGGAAAGGTCATGTTGATATGGTGAGATTGGTAAGGTAAAAGCTGGTTTAAGACCAGAAAAGCGGCAAACAAGTATGGTCTTGTAATGTCTCTTCATGTCAAACTTCTTGGCAAAGGTCCCGGCCGTACATCTTACCAGAGTCAAAGGTGATGCCGGCCCGTTTGCTGCTGTTGCAGCTTTCTGTGGAAGCCACCAGTGCAGCCGAGTATGTCCGGCCACAGTCGAGTCTAAGAGCGCAGGAGGTGTCGCTGGAGGAACAGGACGCCACGTGGCCGTGCTCCCCTGCCACCTCAACGGTGTAGAAACCTGCTCCACTGCTCTCAGACCAGGAGAAATTCCCTTTGTTCGTGCCACAGTCCACGTGACCGGTGAAGTTAGTTGGCTCACAAGGGACTGAAGGAAAAAAGATTTTCCATTATGGTAATTTCCTTTACTGCTGCAGGTAAAGCGCTTGCAGGCGTTGCCGTAGAAACGCGTCCTACCTGTGCTTATTTTCACGGGCGGGCTGTAGCTGCTGTGGCAGTTCCCGTCCTGTGCCGCGATGCGGAAAGCGTACGTCTGTCCACACTCCAGGTCGGTCAATGTGTGTGAGGTATCAGAGGTGTCGTGCATTGAAGGAGGAAGAGCGCCGCTTATCCTCTCAGTTTGTACGGTGTACGCGGCCCCGGACACTGGATTCTTGTCCCATGTGAGGGTTAGTGTGTTGGTATCACAACTGACATGGCCTGTCAAGTTGGTAGGCGGACACAGGCCTGGGATCAAACAGAGGGAAATTAGTAAGAAATGCGCCACTGTGCAACTGCTACATCTGTGTTTCTTTACTGTCGACGTTGAGGTTTGCTCCTCCACCTGTTCTCAGCTGCACGGCTGAGCTGGGCTCGCTCCAGCAGCCCCGGTCCACAGTTACAACGCTGACAGCATAGGTTTGCCCACAGCGTAGGTCAGTGAAATTGCATGAGCAGGAATAGTTGGAGATGCACGTGTGATTGTGTCCAGCAAGTTGCCGTTGCTATGTACATCCCGGCCCCTGGTACACGAGACCAGGACACAGCGCTGTCCTCACACGCCGTAGACACAGAGACGTTGGTCGGAGCACAACGACCTGGAGGTGAGGGAAGAAGACATGAGGATATTGTCTCTCTGAGCTGAAATGTGATGACATATTTGTTGTTTGACATGGATGTATGACTTTGGGTCTTTCTGCACCTGCGTCAAAGCTGTAAAGTGCACTTGGGCGCCCCGTGCATGTCTTGGAGTACGGCGTAACCGTGACGCCGTAGGTGTCACCGCAGTGGATGTCCGGTAGCTGGGTGCTGGTAGCGTTGGTCTGGGCGCAGTGTGTGTGTCCATCCCGACCCGTCAAAGTAACATTGTACCCTGCAGCACTAGGGGTTCCCAGCCATGAGACCAGGGCTGACTGGTTGGAACAGACCAGTGTGGCGCTCACATTCAGCGGGGCACAAGGGACTGGCGAGGGAATAGCAAGAAAGACACGTGGTTATTAAGATGTCTGGTTCAGCCAACTGTCTGACATTATAAGAAATACACTTCTTTGCTGTTATGCCAAGAGTTAAAAGTCAATTTGCTGTTTCATGGGGTTTTGTCTTGGACTACATGGCATCATGTTTGTAATCACTGACCCGTTTCAATCGATTCACTGACACTTGGGGTGCCGTTGCAATGTGCCCCCTGAGCTTGGACTGTCAAATGGAAATCAAAGCCACAAGGCAGGTTTTGGAACTCGCAACTGGTGTTTGTAGTCTGGCAGGTATCCAGGTATCCTCCTCCTCCTCCCGCCACCTGAGCCAGAAAGCCGAGGCTTCCCGCGGGGTCGCTCCACCTGACCACCGCCGCGCTGGTACCGCAGCTGTATTCCTTGGATAAGATCGCTGGAGAACAGGGGGCTGAAAAGAAAGCACGATAAACAGCATGTAGAGACGGGAGTTTACCAGAAAGCAAAAAAAAAACGACTGAGTTTGACAATCTCTCCCACACTCACCCGTGGTGATGTTGGTGCTGGAGCCGGGAACACCGTCACACCGGCTTCCTCGGGCGACGATTGTGGTCGTGTAGGTTTCACTGCACAGGAGATCCGTCAGGGTGCACGTGGCACCGGTTGCGCTGCACCAAACCCTGTGCCCGTTTGCAGCTGTCGCATTAACCACGTAACCCGTGGCAACGGCCGTCGGCGTCCATGACACAGAGGAAGAATTGGTGCCACAGATCAGGCTGCTGTTCCGGACGGAGGGAGAGCAAGGAGCTGGGGAAGAGAGATGAGAGGACGGATGAGTTATCGGGTTCCAAAGACGTGAATAAAATGAATATTTTACCTGTCGTCAGGATTGTACTGATGCTTCCACTGCTGTTACAAGTGGCATCCTCAGCCATCACGGTCAAGTTGTAAAGCGTTCCGCACTGGAGCTGGTTGAGCTGACAAGAAGTAGTACTGCTCCTACAGGAAGTATAGTGCGGAGCGCTGTGTACTATACTTAGAGCCTCTCTAGCATGCACGGTGTAGCGCACGGCCCCGGCAGCGGCTTCCCAGGAGACCGCGGCCGTGTCTGAGCCACACTGGAGGACACTGGTCACATTGACAGGGTCACATGGTCCTGGCGGAGGAGGCAAAGAGAGGACATGTCTCTCATCCTGTGATCAGAGTCACAAAAAATGCTTTACATTAAATGCGAACAAATACGTTGAATGAAACCTGTCGTCAGGGCGGTTTGAGTCGGCGAGCTGGCGCAGCCGCGCTGGGACGTCACCGTGACGTTGTACCGACTGGCACACTGCAGGCCCGAGACAGTGCACGTGAGGTCCGCCGTGGAGCAGGATTTGGAGAAGCCATCGGGGCCCGACACCGTCGTTGTGTAGGAGGTGGCGCCAAGAGATGCGCTCCAGGAGGCCCGGAGAGAGTCCGCGCCGCAGTCCGTCGCTGCCGTCAGGCTCTCAGGGGCGCACGGTGCTGGAGGAAGACATCACTGCATGTAGTAAAACAAAATAAAGTTCATAGAAATGAGCATCCTTGCATCAGCTTTATTACCAGTGTGAAGAGTCTGTGGGGGGCTATGCGGTCCACTGCAGCTGCCAGAGGAAGCTTTGACGGAGACGTTATACGTCCGTCCGCACTGAAGACCACTCAGCACACAGCTGGCACTGCTGGAGTGGCACATGACTGAACTGATGTCACCGACGAGCGGCACAGCGACGACACTGTAGTTTAGATGCACAGCAAAAGTGTTCCAGCTGGCAGTCGCGTCACTGGTGTCACACATCAGCTCGGTCCTGAAGTCCTCCGGAGGACACGGCACTGACGGGAGACAGGACACAAAGTTGGGAAAGGTGCTTGTTCAATTTCTTGCTGGGAGTTCGATGGAAAGAAAGAAAGCTGGTTTAGCTCAAAACTCTACTTCCTCGCGCCTCGACATTTGTCTAAACAACGCTTAAACAACCCAACTGTGCAAATGACAAATTGTGATTTAAAGTGATATATATATCTTGCCAAGTTTCAGTTTCTGGAGTCAACTGAGATGAAGTTAAAATAAAATAATAAAAAGAAAGGCATTCCCCAAATTATCTCAACACTCCTTACCTCACGCTATGTTACTCTGTGTGTATTTTTACATGTATGTTGAGTCAGAAAAAATGAAAAAAAAAACCTGCATAACCACAAGAAGTGTCGCATATGACTTAATGACATCGCTCACTGACTGTCATCTCTCTCTCTCTCAGTACCTGGCTCTTGCCTGAAGGGGGCGCTGAAGTTACTGACGCATCTGCCGTCGGCGGCGGCCACGTGGATGTCGTACGCTTGGCCGCAGACCAGGTTGCTCAGCGAGCAGTTGGGGCCGCGGCTGCTGCAGGTGAGGGTCTGTCCGTTGCCGGTGGCTTCCACAGCGTAGCTCGCTGCATTTGCACCGGGGGGCCAGTGTACCTGCGCGGTGGCGGCGCTGCACGTCAGCTGGCTGGATACGTTAGTGGGAGGACAAGGCTCTGGAGAGGAAAAAACAAGTCAAACGTCGATGTATCAAGTCTTGACGAATGATACTTCCATTAAGTCTTGCTGCTGGTCAGTGTTTTTTTACCGGTATTCAAAGAGAAAGCGCCACTCGGTTGACTTGTGCATTTGTCATCAGCTCCCGACACGGCGATGCGGTAAACCTCTCCGCACCGGAGTCCGGGGAGGCCGCAGGACGTTTTATTGGTGGCGCACTCTGACCTGTGACCTCCGTCGCTCACAGCGATAGCGGTGTAGTACTCGGCACCGCCGCTGGGCAACCACGACACGGGGACGGAATCCGGAGCGCACGTGTGCGCGGCCGTGACGTTCGTGGGAGGACACGGTACTGAGGATTAAAGACAAAGGGGGAATTTGAGACAAAAGTCCGGTCGCTGAGTCTCGGACCCTTTCCAAGGAGATAAGTCGGCCCGTCTCACATGTTTGCACGATGACGTCTGCGCTCGGCCGAGAGAAGCACGTCCCGGCGAGCGCTGAGACGGTCACCGTGTAGGAGCTTCCGCACATCAACCCGCCCACGGCGCACCGGGTCTCCGTGGAGTTGCAGTACACGGGCGGACCCGTTCCTCTGGACACGGACGTCCTGTAGTTCTCCGCGCCGACGGAGACGTTCCAGGTGACCGTCAGCTCGCCGGTAACGCAGGCCACGCTGGCCCTCACATCCTCCGGACTGCACGGCACTAACAGGAGAGACATTAGGAGTTATTTGTAACGCTCGTTATTCTTCCAAACAGCAACGGTTCAGCCGTCCCGCTTCGCTACCTGAGTCCATGTTGATGGGGGTGGAGGTGGACGGGCAGGTTCCATCGTTGTGGTGCACAGTGACGTTGTAGCTCTTCCCACAGGGCGGAGAGATGATTTTGCAGTTGTTGACCGTGTCGCTGGTGCAGTTGAGCTGAGCGCCGCTCTCATCCTCCATGGTTGCGGTGTAGAGGCCGGCGCGTTGACTGTTCTCCCAGACTATCAGGGCATGGTTGGCGTCGCAGTCTCTGAAGGCCTCAATGTCGGTTGGGGGACAAGGCGCTGATGCAGAGGCAGAGGATTTGGTCGATTAGCTGCACAACGCATCCAAATTTTAAACGTTTTTGAATCTCTGAACCAGAGAAGTCCAAACCTCCGACCGACCTGTCATGAAGTTGACCTCCTCGCTGGCGCTGCTGTTGCACTCCAGATTGGAGCCGATGACGATGGCTGTGTAATTCTGTCCGCATCTCAGGCCTTCGATCAAGCAGTTTGAGCCCAGCGAGTTGCAACTGTGCAAATTCCCGTTTTGGTCCTTAGCAACGGCCATGTAGAATATAGCACCGATGCTCGCCGTCCAGTTGGCTTTAACAGAGTCTTGGCTGCAGTCCACTGACGCGGAGAAGTTCACAGGAGCACAGGGAACTGCAGAGACGGGGGAAAGAGCTCATCAAAAAAGTTAACAGAACATCAATGAGATCGTTTAGCGTCCAGCAGAGTTTCCCGGTACATACCAGTCTGAGCAACATCTCCCAAAAGCCTGCCGGTGGAGCAGTTGTCGTTGGAGGCGGTGATCCACACGCTGAGGTGCTCACCACACGGCACCCCGGTCACCGCACAGCTGTCGGAGGAGGAGGTGCAGTTGTAGATTTGGCCAGTGTTTCCCACGGCCTCCACCGTGTAGGAATGAGCTCCAGCGGCCGAATCCCAGGTTGTGGACAATGTGTCAGAGAGACAACCAGCTCCTGTCTTTACGGTTGCTGGTTCACACGGAGCTGGAGGAAAGGAGGGAGACGGATGAAGACCTACTTACTCTCCGTTCTTTTGCTTTTCCGCTGGATGCTACGTTGGTTTCATGCAAGTATTAAAAACTGAAGCACTTCAGCAGTCCTGGACAAATTTAATAAAGTAAGATTTTACAATGATTCCAAAACAAATGTAGTAGTTTTCTGCTAAACGTTACTTAGAAAAAATGCATCCATTCGGGGCTGTTTTTTTCCATTCAATCGAACCTGTATGTGGGTCTGAAATAAACTACTGTGCACTTGACTCTTTTCGTGGGATTTCGTGGGAATACTGAATCCCACCAAATGTATTACAAATTCAAAAAATAACAAATGTGAGCCTCCATTCGAGCCCTCTACGTCAACAAATCAAGTCTTACTCACAGGTGCGGACGAACTCAGGCTGGCTGACCTCTGTGTTGCAACCAGCGCTGACGGCGTACACAGTGTACTTGTAGAACTGACCACATTACATTGGTAAAGTAACACATGCTGTCTGGCGTCCTGCACTCGGTCTCCCTGCCGTCCTCGTCCTCAGCCGTTGCCACGTAGTACAGGGTGTTGTTGGTGGGCTTCCATCTGTAGACGATCACATTGCTGCCACAGTCGTGGCTGACATGAGCGTCAGCCGGAGCACAGGGCACTGGGGGAATGGACGTTGAAATGCAATCAATGTGTAATACATCTCAAATCTGGCTGAATTAGGGGGAAAGAAGTTTAATTACACAGAGAGCAGCTTTTTGATCAAGAGTGTAGAGATTTACAGCAGACTCACATGCTCAGCAATTCACCTTCTATTGATTGAAGATTTGACTCCAGTCTTTTATAATTAACCCCTTAGTCGCTTTCACCACTTTATTGTATTGTTCTGGTGTGAGTGCTGAGCGAGATGTCACTTTGAGATAAGTCCCTGACTTCAATGGACTGGTCAGAGCTTTAGACTGACTGGCATTGGATGTGTTTCACTGCTCAGCTGGAGAAAACCACGCGAGGAAGCTGAACAGCTTCCCACTGGACAGATTCACGGAGCGAGTGTGTGTGTGTGGCGGTGAGAGGTCAAACGAGAAGTTGTGCACATACATGTGGGAGGTGCTCCGCTCACCTGTCTCGAAGGAGTCGGTGGCGTTGGAGGTGCTCTCACAGTCGTCAGATATGGCGACCACGCGGACCGAGTACATCTCACCACATTTGAGCGCGGTGATCTGGCAGCCGGCGGTGGTCGACGTGCAGTTGACGGACGCGCCGATGCTACCGACGGCCGTCGCTCTGTACGAGTTGGCCCCGAATACCAAATCCCAGGTTACTGTCGCCATGCCGCTGGAGCAGCTGTAGTCCGCGGAGACTGTCGTCACCGGGTTGATTGCTGTAAAAGATGTGTGAACAGATGAGACAGATGTTCAGAAGCATTTAAACCTCATGTTCTGTTTGGGTCTGCCGCCCGTTTTTACATTCAATTACTGTATCAGGCAACGCCACAAAATTCCAAATTTGGAACTTTTGTTTTTCCGTAGGGGTCTAACTGGACCCTTCTGGCATCTCATTGACGCAAACATAAGTAAAATCACTTTGTGAGTCACTTTTAGGCAGACAAAATGATCATTTGTTCATGCACAGCCCATAGAACACATGATAAGCGTGTGTTAGAAATACTTTTATCATATTTCTTTTATCTTGTCAGAGCGTAACCACTGCTCTACTACTTGGCTTACAAGTTATGATTGTGAAGTGCACATGTTCAGCAGTGGGAGTTCATCTATTCTGACAAAGGAATCATACTGTTGAAATACTCACTCGAGGTGGTGTGTGTCTCATTAGCGGCTTCCCCGGGAACGAAGAAGAAATTGACGGATGACACCCCCACTGTGTAGGTGGAGCAGGGCTCCAGATCGCCGATGTCCAGCCATGTGTTGGAAGTGTCTCTGGTGACCCGGCTGCTGATGGGGTTATCGTTGTCGAGCACAACCACCTGATAAACCAGGACTCTGCTCACAGCGTCCCACGTCACCCGGGCGGTGCTCTTCCCCGTCGACTCAACACTCACACCGGTTGGGGGCTGGACCACTTGCAAAAACATTAAAAAATTACAGGTGTCAATCTGCTGTATTCGCAAATCCCCGTGAATTCATGAATGTGTGAAGAATTGGCTCACGCGTCACTTAATGTCTATTTCTGCATTACATAAATCAGCAGAACGAGCCCCTCGGGTGCACTTACGCGTGGTGATTGTTCTCGTGGTGCTCCTGGCGCCTCTTCCAGCGCTGTTTGATGAGAAAACGTAGCAGTTGTACGTTGTGGACGGAGCAAGGCCATCCACTTGTCCCCCCAGAGACGCGAAGGTCCGGTTGAAACTTGCTGCGGGAGAATTAAACAATTCCTCCACAAACAGAATGTAGGCGTCCGCTCCTGACGCGCTGGACCACTCAAACCTTATGGATGTACTGGAAAGAGCTCTGGAAAAGGTGATCTGAGATGTGGCGGGCACTGTGGGAATGTATGACAATTCAACAGCGTTCAACAGAACGATTCTTCTGTTTTGTTTCATTGAACTGAATATGTTTTGTTTTTTTAATTTTGGTATTATTACCTGTAGTGGTTATTTTAAAGTCTGTGCACACAACTGTGAAAAACTCAAAGACTTTTAGTGTGACGTTATACGTTCTTCCAGGTATTAACCCCTGAATCAGCCTCTGTGTGCTGGGCGCAGTCTGCATGACCACCAGAGGGGCCACGCTGCTGGAGTTCACGACCCTCAAGTCCAGCGAGTAGGCCGACGCTCCGGCGTAGCTGCTCCACGTCACGCTCAGTGTTGATGCAGAGGGAGAAGTCGCTGACACAAAATCACATCCTGAAGGAAGAAGAATTTATCCCGTCTGGGAATATCATTTTTTTCTACCTTGATCAAAGGTTAAAAAAGGTTAAAAAAAGATTAATATTGAACATTTTTTGCTTGATTTTCTTTTTTTTATTGGGAGTTAAGACAAAAGATGCCAGACTAACATTGAATATGCAATTATGAGCACACGTGCACCATTTTAATATAAAATTGTTATAAATTCAAAATTAGGATATTACTCAAAATTTTACGTGTGTGTTGGCAAAAAGCATTTATTTGTGCTCAATGTCTGTCTGATTTTGCGCTCAAAATTGAGGCACAAATATAATTTGATCAACTAACTTATGTAAACTCAATAATCATGGTAAAAAAAACATAGTTAAAACATAGTAACTAGTAAACTAGTAAACAAGTTGGCGCTCTAATGGTTGTCAGCAGCTACTATCATTTTGAATAACTCAAAGTGATTCCATCTGATCCACCTTAAGCCTTTGGTGTCTTTGTATTGTGAAGGTGAATCTTCAGCATATATATATATATATATATATATATATATATATATATATATATTAAGCCACAGTTCAGAAAATTCTAAATTATTTCCGATATAGACAATATAGAGAAGTAAAGATGAAGACATAACGAAATGGAGATATGAAGATTGCTAATGTTTTTCTATCTGGTCACATCAGTGAAGAAAGATAAATTGTTGCCAAACACTCACCTGTTGCCAAAACATCCTGTGTCTGAAAAAACAACAACATAAAAAATGATGACAAAATATGACATAAATAAGTGATGTAAGAATAATAATAACAAATAAAGAAACTAAATTTGCCAAATGCATTCTTACCTGTATGAGTGACAGGAGGACGACTGATGGAAATAGCATCCACATCTTCTCCTCTGTGTTGTCGGGGCTCCAGTGTGTTACAGCCACATGCAGGTCCAGCAGCTCAACTGAAGTCTCTACAGGCTGAGTGCTGTAGATCAACTCAACGGGAACCAATCAGGACGTCCTGAATGAGGACTGGGGGGGAAACCTGTTGCCTCTCGGCCATCATGAGGAGGAATTAAAGTTTGATTCCTGACACAGGCGGAGGGAGGGGCGCTTCCAATCCCCCACCCCTTTAACCTAAAACTGCTCTTCATCCTTGTTCCCAGAATATTTCATTCTTGTAAGTAGACCAACTAGTGTATGTTTTTATTTGCAATATATATGAAAAGATCAGTAATAAAACAAATCACAGACTCAGTAATTCCCCCGTAAAATCACAGATAAGAATCATGTCAGAAAACATTCATCAAACAAAACTTCAGAGAAGTTTAAAGCCATTAAACATTGAACCACTGTAAAGAAAGAGAGCAACCCCAAAGTATTTTTTTAAATGTATCCTGTTTATCGAGTAGCCAATGTCTGCCACGTACGTGAAGCAGGCGTGCTTGAACACACGCAAATCTTGATGTAAATGTATGAGTGTTTAGAATATACTATACGTTTATTTCAGCATACATATTTCATGTTATTTAATAGTGATTTAATGGTTACACAATTTACATTTGGTCATATGTGCAACATCACCATACATCTGTAATTTAAGTTCTGTGAGACAAAACATCCCAACGGCCAATAAAACCAGCCCGAAAAATGACCAGCGGGTCTCCTGTCTGACACTGCTTTTAAAAAATCTAATTCATGCAAATGTTCTGTAAATGTGAACACTGCCACCAGTAAAAGCAGTTTTCACCAACCGGTTCTGGAGAAAAATCTTAAAATCCAGTAAATTATCTTAAATCCTCTGTGAACGTGTAGACCAATTAATTGGCAACTTTGTCTCTTTGTCTTCTCTTCCTTTTCACTCTTCCTTCCTGCCTGGACATCATGCATGTATTTTTGACTATGTTTGTATTCAGTTTGGCCATATTTATTATTTTGGGGGAGCGGCGTGCAGAATAGGTCTACCAAACCAAAGCACCAAAACAATTCAACACACGGCAACGTCTAAAAAATGCAATGCCATTAAAAAGCCTCATAGTAACATAGTTAGTAAATCTATGTCTGTATCACAGTGTGCAACTGAACTCTGTGACTGTGATTGAAGTGATTGAATGTGATTGAAGATGACAAATCACTGAATTTGTGAAATAATGACACCTATTCCAGTAAGTTTCTCTGATGGTCATGTATCCAACCACCTGGAACCTCGACCCGTTGAAGAACAACCCACACAAGATGATTGACAGCACACGTTGTTGGAATGCAAAGAGCGATGTGCTTTATTGTTGTCATCAACAGCGAGAAGAGAAAACCCAACGCCGAATCTATCTGCAGCAACGTGATCAAACGCATCATCCACAGGAGCCGTGTGTGACTTAAGGCTGCCGCGTGGAGGTCTTCTACTTGATGAGTCCTAAGATCCTATTCAGAATAGATTTGGTCTTTCAATGACTTTACCCGAACTTCCTATTTCTGCTTCTTCTTTATATTTACTCGTTACACGTTGAGGTTACATCATTATGAGAGCAACCGCATTGATTAAGCAGCAGAGCGGAACACAAAATAATATGCAGCGTATTATAAGAAGTAACAAGTTGTTAGTATGTTTTTTAATACATTGTATACACGCCAAGAGTTATTCATTGAAAGACCTCCTCTATAAATTGAAATGTTTTGTAATGTAATTTTTTTTGTCTCCTATTTATTAAGCGGCATCAGTCAGACTCGCTACTGCAGTAACACCAAAACAAGAATTCCTATACAATCTTCTTGGTACATTGGGTCTTCACAATTGTTGTTGGTGTAAGCGCAGTCTTCTGTTCATGTGGGCGCTGCAGGGCAAGAAAGATGAGAGAGAGAAACAGGTGTCAACCCTTGATTCGGTGGAAAAATACACATATGTCACAGTAGCTTCACGACCCAATAAAAGGGATTCTTTGTGTGTGACTGTATCAGAATACTGCCTTGTCATACTGACTCAGGGGCTATTGAATATCCACGGTCATATCTGTCACCGCACACACAAAGAGATGCCCTCCATCTTCATTTACCTGAGTACCGTTCATCTCGTTCACCTTCCCATGGTTCACACACACGCACGCACGCACACGCACATGCCAGCGGGAAAGACGGACAGGGATCCGCCTCCTTATCCAGTTGCTATTTGCTATAGATACATAGTGCATGTCGGTGATGCTGTCACAAGATATCCCCCCCCCCCCTTAGAAAGTGAAGAGGCAACAAAAGAATCATCCAATCAAGCAGGTTGTTTTTCTGATGTCGTTACGCGAGTCCAACTAGCCTGAAGACGGTACCTTCCCACCTGGGAGGAGTTAAGAACCGATAAACTCACCACAATCAACCCACGAGTTGTCTTCCACTGGAGATCACTGAAGAAGGACAGAGAAGGTTTTCAGTGCAGTAGTGATTAGAATTTAAACGCAGCGAGTTGCAAGTAAACATATTCGCCAAAGTTAGAGGATACTTACCCATTCCAGCATTACTTCCTGGGCAGAGAACTGAGAATACAACAGAGACACACACGTTAAAGCAGCTCGTCATCACAAATCACACACAGAAGATAAGAACAAACGTTTTTTCCACGCTCCTAGCAGCCGCTCAGTGACGCACCTGAGTATCTCCTGGGTTGACAGAAGTTGACTTTCACCCCGTTCGGCCCCACCGGGGCCACCACCACCGTGTAGACGTCCCCGCACGTCTCCTCCTCGATGTCGCAGTAATTGCTGCCGGCGGCGGCGACGCACGTGTAGTCGGCCGCCGTCCCGCTCAGCTCCACCGTGTGGTTCAGCATCCAGGCGCCCAGAGAGCGCCAGTACACCCGCAGGGAGTTGTCGGCCCTGCGGTAGAGCTTGACGCTCGTCGGACAACAGGCGCCTGCAAGAATGAGTTTTGAGAAGTTTGCGTTGGGAGCTTTGGATGCATTTGCTGTCCCTCCGTCTCTCCCCCGAGTGTACGCGTGTGTGTGCGTTGCCCCCTTACTGGATGAGAATCCACGGTACTTGCACTCCGACTTGTGTCCCGTGCTGCTGATGGCCTCCAGGTCCACGCTGTAGTTGGTGCCACAGGTTATGCAGCCCATCTGGCAGTGGGTGTCCAGCGTGTGGCACTTAGCGTGTCCGCGGGGGGACGTCAGCGCCGTGACGTAGGAGCGGGCTCCGCTTCCGGGTGACCAGGTCACGTTGGTCATGGCCTGGGTCACCTGGGTGACGTTCACATACATGGGGCAGCAAGGACCTTGGGGAGTAAATTACAGGAACTATGACCAACACGGAGTTCATTTAATGAGAATATTTTGACTGATGCTTCATCATTCTACCATCTATTCATTCACGCGAGGCCACTTAAGCTCATTATTATTACTACTGATGGGGTCAGTATGTTACTGTCCTATTTTTTGCTGCCAAATTCATTCATGTTGTCTGACTTTTTCTTAATGAACTGTTCTGTTTTATATGTAAAAAAGGGATTAACTTCACATTCGAAACGTTTAGCAGTCAATATGACTTCAGCTGATGGCGAGAAGAGACAAACATGTCTTCTTTTTTCTTCTATTTGACCTTTGATTTCACATTCAATTCTTGCAATAACTTATCGTGCCGTCGTACCCGTTTCCAAAGCTTTGCTGTATCCAGGCAGACTCCTCCCCGCGGTTGTGGTGGCCTCTGCCATCACCTCATAGGTTGAACCGCAGGGCAGCTGTGTGAGCTGACAGGAGTTGTTAGTTGACTGGCAGGCGTGGGTGCCGTAGCGCCCAACGGCTGTGATGGTGTAGTTTGTTTTGGGGTTGTTGGGGTTGGTAAAGAGGACCGTGAACGTGGAGTTGTCGGTCTGCGTCACGTTCAGGATCTCTGGAGCGCACGGAGCTGTTTTAATGGCAAAAACACACTTGTTAACACACCAGAGACAATCGCTTGATTCACTATCTTGCCAAAAGAGTCAAATGTGAAGATTGATGAATGTGGTTGTGTGCAAGTGGGAAATATTGAAATTGCAGCACCACGTTGTGTCAAAGCTGTTTCTCTCCCCGCATTCCCTTCGCGGTGTGCATGTCCCTCTGTCCCTCTACAGAGCCCCATCGATACCTGTCTCATGCGTGCTCGCCGCGCATGTGCGGTTGCATCCTCGTAGCTCGCTGCAAGGGGTGACGGTCACAGAATAAGCCGTGTTGCACCTCAGATCGGACAGCGCGCACACGGCCGCCGTGTCGTTGCAGTGGATGACGTCGTTGGTCTGTGCCGCCGTCGTCTCGTAGAGCTCGGCCCCTTTGACCTCCGGCCACGTGACCTCCAGCGTCTCTGTGGAAACCAGCTTCACGGTGACGTCCTGAGGGCAACAGGGAACTGCGGCGGAGGCGGGGAAGAGAAATGCAGAAAAAAAGAAGTATCGTTGAACAATGTGCAAAAGGCCGTTCTGAAGTCATGAGCTGCGACGATGATGTTAGAAAATCAAATGCAGAAGCCAAACCGGAGCAGACAGGATCACATGGATTCCTGCATCTCTTACGCTAGGGAGGTGTTACATGTTGGATGTGAAAGTTGCTGACAATAAATAAGACAAGGGTGTACTTGTTGGTTGTAAAAAGAAATAAATCCCTTGTATGGGCCTTTCTGCTGGATATCAAAAGCATGTCATTTGCGGTGGTACTGCAGGTGGGTGCTTCTGGTCCTACTGGTGGTGTAGTTGCGGACTTGCGCGTAAGGGCTGGAGCCGGCCTGGTTGTAGGGGAAGACGGTGGTGAGATAGCTGTAGCCACACAAGCAGGGAAATGAACATGTGGTTCCGGTGGTGTTGCACGACTTCTCCATCCCGTCGTCCCTCTTTATAAAAGCCATGTAGTGCTCCACCAGGGGAACATCCTCCCACACCACTGAGCAGTTCCCGGCGACGGGCTCCTCCACCCAGA